TTGACTCTCTTGTTGGTTGTGGGGTTCACCCACCTCAAGGGGGCGTTCGAATTGGATGTGGGAGTGACACCCTTCGTGCCATGCGCTCATGCGTGGCTTCTTTTACAGCGGCCCGACCAATCAGGGTCGCGGCTGACTTAGCTAGGCCGGCTTAAGGCCTGACCGGACCGCCCACTGCACCGCGCTGCTGTGAATGGGCGATTGCGCAAGTGAGAGTAAAGCAAGCTGGAGTTTACTCAGCCAAACTTCCACGAAGGGGGGCAGTTAACATTGACGGTCGCTCATGCCAGAGTTTCGAAGACTGGAGAGAACAGGTCAATCTGTTTATGTTTGTTGTTTTTGTTCTTTCTTCAGCTTTGCTTCAGGTAGCCCTTTGTTTGGATGGGTTGGGAATTGAACCCCAGTTTCTTACTAAATGGGGAAGCTACTCCCCACCCAGATCTCGGCTTCCCCATTCTTAGAGATCCTTCTTAATCCTTGTTAGCCACCAAAACGTCCTGGAAATCGGCTGCTTTTTTGAAAATGGTTACACAAGACATGGAACCAAGCCCTACTGTGGATGGACACACTAGCACCACCTAAGAGACCCTGGTTTCTGATGCGATTCCCCTGTACATGGTGCGAAATGGATTTCGCAACCATCCAGAGAAGCTGAGGTTTGCGGGACCTGTTTTTTTTGTAGGGGGTCCCCCCAAAACTTGGGTTTTTCCTCTTGGTTCCTTTTCAAGCCACCAAAAGGGGGTAGCAACTCAATAGAAACGTTGGTTTTGCGGGGGTTCCCCTTCTCAAAGTGAGCCAGGAAAAGAACAAGTTTGTTGTTTTTGGGGGGCTTTGGTTGAAAAAGGGCCTTCCCTATCTGAGACATTCCCATATGGTGAATGTGCCGGGCGCCTGCAGGGTCCCTTTATGCGGGGGAAATATAGCGAACCTGGATTGAGTGGGTCTATCTTTGTTTGTGGGTACCCTTTTTGGAGTTGGGCTACAGGGGCACCAAAGGACAGCTACCCTTTTTGAGGGGTCCCCTCGAGGGAACCTGAAATTTTGAACCACTCGGGTTTCCGGGTCGAATTGTTCCTTTACCCTTCCAACTTCCAGGCTGAAACCTCTCGGCAACAGTCGGAGGTTTCTGCGGCGGCGCCCTCAATCGATTGGCACCTGAAATTCGGCAGATCCAGGGGGCTCAGTCAACCAAAGCGAATCGACCTTTCGCCCTTTTGGTTTTCCAACTGTGGTCCATGTTTTTGTCAAGGTCCCAAAAGGTGGTCCCAACAGGTGATTACCTCAAAAAGAGGACTTGAACCCGCAAAGTCGGAATTGCTCCGAACCGTTGCTGCCGAGTTCGGCTTCCTTTAAGGGCTCCCAAATCTTCATTAATTTCAGAAAAGATGAGCCTCAGAAAGCTTCCTTCCGCCCTTTGCATCGAAACTGGGACATGGGACTTTTCCAAGCGGCAAATCAAAAACTTAATTTGATTTGGACCAGTAAACCAAGGCTAAATGTGCGGATTTCCTTCCCACCCTGACTTCGGTCGCGGTGGACACTTCAGAACCTAATACTGAACCAATTCTAAAGCAAGACTCAACCGAGACAACCAAATGTGGACCAATTCGAAACCAGTACAAGTCTGAAGAATGCCGCTGCTTCACACAATTGCCATTGTCCCCCAGGCCTTGTTGTTTTGTTTTTTCTTTGGGGGGTATTCATTGTCAGGGGTGGGATTATACATGTTGATATTTAGACTTTTGGCGTGCTTGGGAAGGTGGGTAAGACGCATTTTTACGATACTGCCCATGGACCTGCGCCAGTAGTAAATGTCCGCATGTTTCTGCCAGCCTAGGGTTTCCGCCATCAGAACTGCAGCATTTCGTCCATGCAAAGATGAAAAGAACTCGCACAAATAAAGGGAAGGCACCCTGCACAGGGGTTTACTTGGGAAAATGGTTCTCTGCTTTGAGCGCACCCTTTTTACGGTTGGTTTAAAGAGAAACCAACCGGAAAACCACCATGTGAGGGGGTTCCCCAAAAAACGACACCCCCAAATATGGCCTCCCAGGAACCGGTTCCTGTGGTTTGGTCAACCAGTCAACCAGGTCTGGCGGGGCCGCGCGCCTTCGGAGGACCTCGGTTTTCCGTTTTGACCGGCATGGCGAGCGTATTCCGCTGAACACCGACCTGACCTTTTTGGTTTTCTGACTTGTGGCCCCAAAAGGTGATCACCTTTTGTTTCGGGGTCCTTTTGGCAATTGAGTGCAGATCAACATGGGTTGCCCAAAAGGGGGGGGGTGCGGGACCTAGACATATTTTCCTCAAGCGGGTTTCCATATTACTCTGAAGAGTAAAAGGCGATCCCCAACGGTGTAAGGAAGCCTGATTGGCTTTCCGCTTTCCGGGTGCCTTATGAGACAGCCCCGCATTGGAGCGACGTGGGGCGAGGTTGCCAGGAGTGACCCCGATTCAAATAAATTCCTCTTGCAGGGCCAGTTTGTTTTAGTAAGACACCCGCACAATTACTACCCTCCCATCCACGAACACGGAACCTGACTGGGTGGGTTCTTGAAGACTACGTTCATAGAAAAGGCACCCTTTGGTGGGTTTTATGTTGGTGGACAAGGGGGTATCTGAATGGTGTAGCTGTGATTGTAATGCAAGCTTCTCGAGTTGTCTCCTGCCTGTGCTCAGGTGCCCATTTGGTGGAAGCCAAATGGGGAACAAACATGTTTACGCCCCGCCCAACCCACCAAATCACCAATTAGGGGGGAAGGTGAGGTGCGTTTTTGGAGTGAGATTCGTGTGCCAGGTTGGTTGTTTCTGGACCCGCGAGGAATCCAATTCCGATCTCCTGGCGCGATGGGTGCAAAAGGCGCTCGGGGGCGGGACGTCAGCAACCTACCCCAACAAAGCCACATGTGTGAACTTTTGTCTGGGCCCGGAAGGCTGGGGGGCGTTTTTTTTGAGGATAACCTTTTGTTTTGCGTTTTTTAAGGGAGACGAGGGACACCACATATGTTCGGGGTTTTCAAATGGGACATGCTGGTTTCAAGGGGGCTTTGCCATGGACCAACTGTCTATCCCAAAACGGTTGGAACGGCGTGTTCCAATGAGGGACACGAGGGGCGTATCCTGAGAAAACTCCTCAGAACCCGAAAGAAGCTCTAGCCCTTTTGGAGGGCCTAAAACGATTTCCTCCCTATGCTTCCCGATTTGGAAGAATCCAGGGTGAATCCCCTTTCAGTTTAGCGGCTTCCGGACGCCTCGTCTGTTGAGGTGGCTTCACTAGAACTTGGAATTGAAAGTCAGGTATCCCCAACAGAACGCTCGATCCTTTCGAACCCTCCCTGAAAGCTGCTTCGAACCAACCCAAAGCTCATTTGACCTGCGAGCGACCCCAAAGCTTTCGTCCAAGCCGGGTGAGCAGGAGCCAAATATCCACCACTTTCACCTTCGTTCTCCATGGGGGGTTCATGCTGAATGGAGTCTTCTCCAAACAGTGGTGACATTACAGGGTTGGGCATATATGAAACAACATCCGAAACTATCATTCCCCATCTACGTAGCCCAGATTTAGGTCGTGGTTGCGAGAGAAGTCAAAGAACCCGGTCGGGTTTGCTGATGGTACGGGGAGAAGCCAAAAATCAACCATTGGTGGGTCCGATGATGAAGATCCTTAGGTACACAATTGTTAACCCTCATTGTTTTAGTTGTTTGAATCCAGGGGTTCTGCTTGCCTGTTTAGAGCTTAAACAACCTTCGTTGTAGGATGCGCGCGCGCCTATTGTTCAAGCATAACTTGGCGATTTTCAGCCGCCCCCTTAGTTGTTTTTCCCCCCTCGGTTTTGTGGGGGTTTCATTTTACCCACCAAAGATTAAACTTTTAGCAGCGGATCTGAGAACGGACAGCCCAAAAATCTTGCCCAGCCTTGGTTGTAACCCAAAATAGCCCAACCAATATAAGCTCGGTAGCGTTGCAGCACCCGTTGATTGTTCATTGGGTGGAATCAGACAGTCTCAGCCTGCATGAAACATTTTCCTTTGAAGCCCACCGCTTCTCAAAATCGTACGGCCTGAGCATCGCCTCGCGTTTTTTATTGCTTAAACATCACCCTTTGTGACGTTTTAACTTGCTCGTGCTCAGTAGGAAATGACCTAGAGATTTTGGAATGAACCTAGGGATTCTCTCAAAGAAAGCCATGGGGGCTGTTTTCTTTGTTCTTTCCGGGGTCATTCCAACTCATTCCCAGCCCACGAAACCATCAACTGAAGTCGGGGTCGTGAAGGGACTTTTTTGGACAGCGAGGTCTGCGACTTCGGCATGAGCGGCCGCAGGGGTTCTCAGGTCCTTCCCGCGCTGTCTTGGTGTAGCTTTCAGCAGAAGATGGCGGTTACATGCTGTGGATGGTTGCAGAATCAACTAAGCGCACCAGTTGGGATTGGTGGTTTATCAACCATTATTTGTAGGGCTTCATTTGTCAAAGTGGTGCGAAATGGATTTTGTCCAACCACTGGATTTTGGTATATAGGCTGAGTACGAATGATTTAGTTTGCCTTGGTTTAAAGGGAATCCAGTTCGGAACACCTCAATAGCGGGGTCCAAATATGTCCAAATCCTGATTTTGACTCACAATTCATACTACAACATGGTGCTAATTATTATGCACAAAGTTGCATGCTCGGTAGATCGGGCTGACATACGGGCCCTCGTAGAGAACGCCGAGGAACTTCTGCAACAGACATTGCAACAGAGGCTCCCGTATCACTCTGCCACATTGGCATCATCCATCCAGCTTTCGCTAAGATATTGTCCATATGTCTGTGTTTAACTGTTTGCGAGCCCGTCATTGATGAATAAGACAGAGCGACTAGTAATGTGAAATGATCCTTGAACCAGTACGCTGGTCGTCTGATGGGTTTGGTTGGGAAAGAGTGGGCTGCAGATTCACAGCGGAAGCGTGCAATGCTCAAGCGCGTTTCGCCCTTCCACGTCCTTGTGTGATATATGATATATGCAAGCAGTTTGGAAGAAAGCCGCCTTTGCCAAAGAGCGAGGCCTCTTCAGAGCTGCAACAGCTGCAGACGTGACGTGGCATCTCTGCAAGTTGACATGTCTGAGCTTGGATCCAAGCTACCACCATTCGATCTATGATTCCTTGACTAAAGTTTCCAAGGTTGACGTATTTGTCAGCCATTCCTGGTCATGCCCAGTATGGCGCAAAGGCCTTGCTGTTTGCCATTATCTAAATCTTGACTCGGCCCTGGCCTCATCCTTCCTCGCGAGCATCGTGGCAGTTTCGGTGCTTGTGCTGCACGCGGGAAGCTTCAGTGCTGTGGCACTTCTGCCACCGGGTGCGTTGCTCGGCTGGTTGCTTTTCTGGCCACTCTCCGTATTCTTCTTGATGTACCTGTTTGGACACGTCTTGGCCGGCAAATCGTTCTGGTTTGACCACATCTGCGTCGACCAAGCAGACCTTGAAATCAAAAGTCAGACGCTTCAAGCAGCTAGGGTCAGAAGCAGTAGTTTTGATTCAGTTTGCGTCCCCGTAACAAATGCAGGCCCACCATAAAAGTGATTGTTGTTTGTTTGGCCACTTTGGATCCGAGGCAATACCGGCCTTCGTGGCACACTCAACTGAGATGCTAGCTTTGTGGGATGAGACGTACAGCCAAAGACTTTGGTGCAACTATGAGTTGGCCGTGCACGCCAAAACTGCAGAACGCGCTGAAGCAATAACAGTTGTACCTACGTGGATGCCTTTGTGGACATTGTGTTGGTTTGCCATGACCGCGAGCCTGTGCGTGTTCAATGTTCAGGCTGCTGTGTTGGATAAGGAGTCACGTGTTTCACTCTTGGTTTCAATGATCAGGAACTACGTTGTTCCTCCATACGCATTCTTGTTTGCTTCAGTTCCCCTTTCATGGTTCAGCTTGGAAAAGCTCAAACGGCACAAGTCCATGCTCGATGAGATGGCTCTTTTCGATTTTGGCAACGCCAAATGCACCCTGGAGACGGACCGGCACGAGATCGAGGACAGGGGTTGGGGTCTTTCGAAGAGGACCCTAGAGTAACTTCATTCAAAGCAATTCTCGGGCTTAAGGGCCACCCGGGAGGAGCAAGTCTTATGTCTTTTCGATGAGGCTTTGGCACCTCCCATTCGTGTTGCATTTGATGGTCTGGAAGGCTCGGGAGTTCCGAAACTGGAGCATATGGACGGTGCTGACGGTGTTGAAGGTGCTGACGTGGCCTTGCTGGCAGAAGCCATTCACGAGATCCGGCACGTCACCAGCTACCCTTCGAGAGGCGAAGTCATACAATGCTTCAATGCGTATGTGAGAGGTCCGTTGAGGGATTCTGTGCTCAAAGCCATGGGCAACGAGAATCAGATTCCAATGAAGTTGTCCATGGTTTTGAGTTTTCCTTTCTGGTTTACAGGACTGGTAAGTGTATTTGGGTGCGACGGCCGGACTGATTGCATGACATCCGCCTCGGCTTGGGGCTACACGTCGGTCCCTCAGTATATGGCTGCAAACGCAGTCTGGGAACTGCTTGTGTCGCCCACCTTCCTGATGCTCGTGCCACCATTGATGCTGCGAGCCGGCCAATTTGCAGAAGAAGCTGTGTCAGACCAGATGTGGCAGTTGGTGTTGGTCTCGGTCTTGGGTGCCATGATCTTCTGGATTTTGGATGTGTTCGCGACCGTGCAATGGGGCCTGTTTATTCTTGCAGTTGCCAAACCATCACCTATTTGGCTAGCTGGGGCGATATTCGGTTTCATCCTCCTTTTTGGGTCGATCTGGCTTCTGTATTTTTCAAAGGACTTGCCTCACTCCAGCCAGCGATCACTTGCAAATTGCTTTCGAGAGAGCATGTGAAACAATGCATGCCAACCGGGTTGACGATTGCAGTTGCTGAAAACGCGTGTGCGGCATTTGGGTCTTCGAGGGGCAAGTTGTGAAGAAACACGCTTCCACATGATTTGGGTGTATCCCCCCCGTTTTTTTTGGTTGAGACACCCGATCATCGGACCTTACTGGCGTCTTACCTCTCCAGGAATGAAGGGGTTCGGTGGCGTGGGAAATTGTCTAGGGCCACTTGCTGTAAGGAAATATGTGCGTGATAAGTAGTTATTGATGCTGTAGATGGACGAAATTGAAATCGAATTTGCAGTCCTTTGAAACCATGGAAAGCCATTGTTGGTTGGTATTTGCAGGGGAGTGATTGTTCCATGGTTTCTTGTGTTTTTTGGGTGCAGGATTTCGTCCATCTACATTGGCGATGACTCAGGATTATTTTAACCACAACTCTATCAACTATGTTTGAGATATGTTCTGTCCTGCTTCCGCTGGGGATTTGTCCCCCCAACAGCCACGGAGCTTTCTGGAACCCTTCCGGACCCTCCCGGAAAGCTGGTCAACCAGCCCAGAGCTTATTTGGGCAGGAAAAGCCAGCTGTTGGAGAAAGCCCCAAAAACTGCATTGAGTTTAAACGGGGTTCCCACTGTGGATGGGCGAAATCTATTTTTCACCACTTGGAAACCTTTGTTTGTTGGCATTCTTCTGGGGAGTCATCATTCGCAGGGTTCCTTAGGTGGTACGAAATGGATTTCACACCCGTCCGCACCTCTGAAACTACCTGGAGATTCGCTCTCGAGCCTGCAGCCCCACCCGGATACAAAGCTCCGATTTCTCGGACCCTAAAAGCTGAGCAGTCTGAGCTCCACAAGCTCCAAACCACCAAGTTAGACCCCAAAATTTTGAGGGAAGCCGATATATGGAAGAGATGAAACCCTACGAATATTGGGACCAACCACCTAGCTGGTGGCTGGTTGCGCAATGTGTTTTGTGTGAATCCGCATGGTCTTTGTTCGCATCCATTCCTCCAAGATCACTTTCGTCCTTGCCAGTGTGACAAATGATCGCCCCTTAGTACGCAAGGTTCCCAACCTTTCTCCCCCTCTAAAAATCGGGTTTTCCCAAGTCTAGAATTTTGGCCACTCAAGTTCAACCCCCTTGTTCCCAGTGCAAATCGTGTTTTGCTTGGCACAAGTCTAGAATTTCGGCCACTCAGGTTTAACCACCTTTCCCCCCGTCAAACAAATGCCTTGGGACAAGTCTAGAATTACGGTCTGAGCTAAGACCGCTTCCATTTACTTAAGATGCTTTATTTTCTCATCGTGTTAAATGGAGACTGAGCCACTACTGGACAGAAATCATTTTTCCTGGGGACGAAGACACACTTGGAGGGGTATCAATAGCATCACGGCCACTGAAGTTTCCAACGGTTTGCCCTCAAAAAGAGCGTTCTTTTCTCTGACAACCCCTTTTCCCTCGAAAAAGTCATGTGTCTTCCTTGGGGGACACGTCTAGAATGACGGTCTCAGCTGAGACAGCCAAAGCGCCACTTGCCGTCAGAGCTTGAGGCTGCCACAGCCTCACCTCCTTGTTCCACTTCGGGTTTACAGCCTGGAAGCAGCCCCTTGGCAGGCCACGCCGGAGGGGCCTTTAGACTTGAGCTCTTTTTGGTTGAAATCAAGTCGGTCCGAATTGGACCCGCCCAAAGTTGAAAGCTTGTTGCGGAGGGGGTCAACAGAAACCATGGGGAGGGCGACTGTTTGACCCGGTGTTCTTTTTTTGGTCTGCATTTTGAGGCATGCCAACCTTGGGCTCAGGTGGTTCCTTTGACCCAAAAGCGGGCCTCTGGAAAAGAAAAGCAGAGGAAGTTCGCACAAAAATCTGTGGTTAACAGGTTACCTTATTACCTTTTCAGGCTACTAGTCTCTTGTGCACTTGGACCTGCAGGAACCACACCAGTTGCAAGAGTTCTCTATCAACGCCCGGATGTTTCCAACTCGAGTTGGGGAGGTGGTAGGGTTGAGCATTGGCCCTATGACGATTGTGCAGGAGGCTCAGTTGCCCAAAGCGAATTGACCTTTTGATCTAGCCACTGGCCTTTTTTGAGCTCACGACTTCAATGTTTGTTGGCGATGGTGCCCTGATTCCGCAAACAGCCTCATGCAGCTGCATGGCGCCCCAAGAAAGACCCCTCAATTCGTAGGATCGAGATTTCCTTTGTCCCCCCTTGTTGGGCAACCCATGCTAACCTGCCGGCACTCCTCACAAGAAAACATGGTATGTATCATGTAGCCTTTTTAGCCAGCGGTGTTACGGAATTTGCTTGTGGGTACCGGACGCCCTTCCCAGATAGGCGATTCCTTTTGTAGCAAACGAAGGTTTCAAAGGGGCGAAAGGCAGACAACCATGAGGCCATTTAGCACCCAAGTCTGCCTATTCTATAGTGAGCTTACCTGGGGGCAAAACGAGCTGACCATGATGTATGCGCATTCCTTGTTTCAGATGTTGGGCATTTGCGTATTTGCTTGGCAGATAACTGATAAATTCGAGGTTGGTCCTTGACTCTGCAAGCAAATGATCAGCAGAAGGTATGAGTTTTCATTGGCAGCCTTTTGCACATCATGTCCATGATGTTCACCTTGATCAGCATCATCCTGTAAGGCCTATTCCTTTAAAGCAGCCGCAAACGGGTACCCTCAAAACGAAACAAGCCGATATCCTCACACCAATTCACATGCAACCTGACAGGGGGGTTCCTGGAAGACCATGTTCCTTGTAAAGGAACCCCCTGTCAGGTTCCACGTTGGTGGGAGGGCATAGGGATTCGATTCGGCAGCCAAGGCTTATGCACGGCGCATCAGCCTGGGGCTGCGCCCTCGGAAGCACCGAATGGTGTTGGTTCATTGCGTAGTCGTTGGATCATGGGGTTAGGTTCTATTTTCAGGGTTTTAGGCTTTGCCCGAGCTGGAAGCTTGGGGTCTGGCTTGTTTGGTTAACTGTTCATTGTTGACGGGCGTTTTTTTGGCGGCAAGCGGTTGCAACATGGAGGTGTCCAATCACCAGTCAATGATGTCAACACTGTGGATGGACAAAAACCAGAAATCACACCAGTTGGGATGTGAAGCCAACAAATCAGTAGTATTTAGTCATTGCCAGACGGATCGCTTGCCTTTTTAACTTCTTGCTGCTTTGGCTTTCCATAGTTGTCCATGTCAACCAGCAAAAAGCTGACATTGTGCAAGTGGCAGTAGTTTGGCACTGACCTATGTCATAGTGTCGTACTTGAGCGTGCCCTTTTTGAAAGGAAAACCACAAGTTCTGAGGTCCCCTTTCTTGAGACAAGGCATCTATAACATGACATTGAGTTCTTGTCCGAATTGACATCTGAACTGAGCACATATATATATATATATATACATGTGTGTGTGTGCATCTGCAACTCTACGCCTATCTTACACCTCGGCAGCTCCACATGGACTTTGGGTAGCGAAGGCGTTGGTGAATCTTTTGTTGGGGACCTCAGAGACGTGACGTACCGATATGCTCGCTCGAAGGGCGCAGGGGGACCCCAAGAAATTGCTGGCTTCCCTTTGGTTTCCCATAGCCATAGAATTGGTACCCTCAAAAAAGACACACCCTTATCTTCGAGTATAAGTCAGTCTACAGATGTTCTGTCAGGAACAGGCAGCAAAGAAGATGTGGATGGATGTTGCCAATAATGCTAAGATGGATGCAAATAAGATGCATGGCGCACAAAGATATGCAAAAACACGTAGTCAAAAGAAAACTGGACGACATAGTGAATGTGCAGTTACACACATGACATGTGCTTTGTCACCAGGCACACACATATCATGCTTAGGCATTTGGAGGGCAACCCTTAGATCTTGAGCAACTCGGCACTGTGCTTGGAGGCTGCCTTGGCGAAAGGCGGGGTGCTTGTGCATACCCTTTTTCATGGAAACCATGTTCCGCTGCCATTTCGGTGCCTCTTAGATACTCCCACCATGTCCCACCGTAGGCTTTCAGAGAGATCAGAATCTCTTCGCATCCGTCTGTTTGATTCCAAGCTTCTGGGCATACTCCTCGGGCTTAACCATGAGGCCATCCAATTTGGGCGTCCGGTTTTGCGTGTGTTTGATGTTTCGCGTTAAACATGTGCGTGCACTCCATGTAGGTGGAAAAGGCTTTTGTCAATCAAGTTTTAAAGCGATTCTGCAGGCCCAAATCAACCGGATACCGAGGCATGGAGTCCGTAGAGGACGTGTCTCCGGGCCACATTGCGGAGGCGCAACAATTATCCAGCGCGTGTGTGTGTGTGTGTGCGCTTGTGTCTGTGTGTGTGTGTAATTGTTGGTGTGGTTGGTTGTGTCTTTTTTGTGTGTGTTTTTGTTTGTTTGATTGGTTGTTTGGTTTTGCTGGTTTGATTGTTTGTTTGTGTTGCATTGTGGTGTTTGTTTGTTTGCTTGCTTGTTTGCTTGCTTGCCTGCTTGCTTGCTAGCATGCTTGCCTGCTTGTCTGTCTCTCTGTCTGTCTCTCTGTCTGTCTGTCTGTCTGTCTGTCTGTCTGTCTGTCTGTCTGTCTGTCTGTGTGCCTGCCTGCCTGCTTGCTTGCTTGCCTGCCTGCCTGCCTGCCTGCCTGCCTGCCTGCCTGCCTGCCTGCCTGCCTGCCTGCCTGCCTGTCTTTGTTTGTGTTTGTGTGTGTGTGTTTGTTTTTGTTTGTGTTGTTTGTTGTGATTTCGTAGGTGTTTGTTTGTTTGTTTGTTTGTTTGTTTGTTTGTTTGTTTGTTTGTTTGTTTGTTTGTTTGTTTGTTTGTTTGTGTTGATTGTTTGTTTGTGTTTATGTGTGTGTTTGTTTTCCGTCTGTGTTTGTGTTTGTGTTTGTGTTGATTGTCGTTGTTTGCTTGTTTGTTTGTTTGTTTGTTCGTTCATTCGTTCGATTATTTGTGTTTTTGCTTGATTGTTCGTTTGTGTGTTTGCTTGCTGGTTTTTGTTGCGCGTGTGTGTGTGTGCTGTGTGTTTGTTTGTGCTGTGTGTTTGTTTGTGTTGTGTGTTTGTTTGTGTTGTTTGTGTTGTTTGTGTTGTTTGTTTGTTTGTTTGTTTGTTTGTTTGTTTGTTTGTTTGTTTGTTTGTTTGTTTGTTTGTTTGTTTGTTTGTGTGTTTGTGTGTTTGTGTGTTTGTTTGTTTGTTTGTTCGTTTGTTCGTTTGTTCGCTGGTTGCTTGCATGCTTGCTTGCTTGCTTGGTTGCTTGGTTGAAAGGTTGCTTGGTTGCTTGGTGGCTTGGTGGCTTGGTTGCTTGGTTGCTTGGTTGCTTGGTTGCTTGGTTGCTTGGTTGCTTGCTTGGTTTGACTTGTTTGCTTGCTTGGCATGATTTTGCACCATATTTGCACCAGTTGGTGACGGGCACTTCACAGAGCAGGTCGGCGAAACAAGCAAACCCGGGCGCCTATGCAGGGCTTTGGTCGGCACAGCCCCCGCCCCCCCCGGCAACACAAATGGTCTACTCCCCAGAAAAAGGGGGTTGCCCGCTTTCTAACAGGGACACCCTCGTTGCCGCTATCCAGCGATTTCCATTTTTCGCCTCATGAGTTTCAGCTACTGCGGATGGAGAAATTCTGCACCACTTGTTCACACCCTAAAACGATGATTCCCCTGTAAATACCAACAAGCAATAGTCTTCCTTGAATGGTGCGAATACATTTCGTCCATCCACAGTAGTTCGCAGTCAAGTGAGCATTAATTTGTTTGGGCCCTTAGACGCTCTAGAGGATTTCCGTGGCGCAATTTGAGAGCCTCGCCGCTTTTCCCATGGCAGCTGATGGGCTCCGAAAACGGCCCGCGTTTAGGATGGTTGATTTTGCTGCTGTTGGCATTATGTGTTTTTTTTCCCAAAAGCATCTCTGATGCTTGGGTTCTGCTTTTGGTTTTCTCTTAAGGTGCCTGGGAGCGATACAAGCTGTGACGGCGGAGATAAGAAGGGATTTCCATTTCGTTGTGCTGCAGACCGGGCGTGCGATGCCGTACGAGGCTGGCTGGGGGGGACGGCGGTGTGGTGCAGACTGGGTGCGCGAGGCTGGCTGGAAACTGGCTGGGGGGACGCAGACTGGGCGCGCGAGGCTGGCTGGAAACCGCCCGCGAGCGAGACTGGCTGGCTGGGGGGACGGCGGTGTGGTGCAGACTGGGCGCGCGAGGCTGGCTGGAAACCGCCCGCAAGCGAGACTGGTGCGGTGGACGCTCGTGACATGCGGAAACCGCCCGCGAGCGAGACTGGCGCGGTGGACGAGACTGGCGCGGTGGACGCTCGTGACATGCGCAAACCGCCCGCGAGCGAGACTGGCGCGGTGGACGCTCGTGACATGCGGAAACCGCCCGCGAGCGAGACTGGCACGGTGGACGCTCGTGACATGCGCAAACAGCCCGCGAGCGAGACTGGCACGGTGGACGCTCGTGACATGCGGAAACCGCCCGCGAGCAAGACTGGCGCGGTGGACGCTCGTGACATGCGGAAAGCGGTCGCGAGCGAGACTTTCGCGGTGCTCGTGACAGGCGGAAAGCGCTTGCGAGCGAGACTGGCGCGGTGGACGCTCGTGACATGCGGAAACTGCCCGCGAGCGAGACTGGCGCGGTGGACGCTCGTGACACGCGGAAACCGCCCGCGAGCGAGACTGGCGCGGTGGACGCTCGCGACAGGCGGAACCCGCCCGCGGGCGAGACTGGCGCGGTGGACGCTCGTGACATGCGGAAACCCCCGCGAGCGAGACTGGCGCAGTGGACGCTCGTGACATGTGGAAACCAAGGCATATTTTTTTCAAATCAACTTTTTTCAAACTAAAATCAACTTTTTTGCAATCTAAAACCAACTTTTTTGCAAACGCATAGGTCAGGGTGCCAAGGGTAGGTAGTCTCTTGGCTTCGGTCGCTTTCCTATCCGCAGCCATTTCAAAACAAGCGGTCTGCCATGGTGAGTGTGAGCAGCAGCAGCGTCAGCAGCCCGCCTACGCCACCGAGCTCGCCCCTGGGGCCGGTGTGTCGGGCACCCAGGTACCGCCAAAAAGAGGCGGCCCTGGGCAGCCCTGAGGGGCAGCAGCGGCCGCCGCAGCAAGCCAAAAAAAAGAGGAAGAAAAAGGCGGCGAGGAAAAAGGTGCAGCTGAAGCCAAACCAGCGCCGTCGGGTAAGACTGATAAGCCCGGCGGCCACTGGTGACGAGGCTGGTCAGTCTGGAGAGCCGCCGCGGCGCCGCAGGAAAAGCCCTGCGGCCACCGCCCACGAGAAGCAGTCTGAGTCTGAGGCTGCCAGCGACAAGGACAAGCGGCGCCGCGAGGCCAGCCCTGAGCCCGCGGCCACCGCCAGCAACGAGCGGCGCCGCGAGGCTGATGAGCCCGCGGCTACCGCCAGCAAGGGCAATGGGCGCCGAGAGAAAAGCGCCAGGCAGCAGGCGGCCACTGCCAGCAGGCAGCGCCGCCAGGCAAGTGAGGGCGCCCGCAGCCCACCGCCGGGCCCGCCCGAGGGCAAGAAGCGCCCGCGAACCCCGCCACTGCCACCGCGTAGGCAGCGCGGGCAGGCTGCTGACACTGAGTCCGAGGCGCCGCCCCCGCTTGCCAAGCAGGCCTACCGCCAACACCGCGGCCTGACATGCGAGGTTTGCGGCGCCGTGATCAAAGGCACCGGCCACCCAGCGGGCGACTCGGCCGCCTTGCAGTCGCACATGCGGACCAGCTCACGCTGCCTGGCCTTGAGGGGGCATGGCCAAGGCAAGGAGCCGTGCTCCTTTGGGTGCGGCAAAATGCTGGCGGCTGGAGACATGTGGGCAGCGGAGCAGCATAGCTGGCACTGCAAAAAGCAGCAGCGCTGGACCTGGAGGCCCTGAGGTCAACCCAGGTCCAGCTACTGCCGCTTGAGGCCTGCGCGTAAGCGGCGCTGCTGCCTTCAGAATCAGAAGCAGAGAAGCCAGCAGCGGCTACCGCAGCTCCGCGGCGCTGCTGCTGCAAAGACTGCCATGGTCACGGCACTGACTGAGCGCTTGGCGTAAAAAAAGCACCGCGCGCGCGGCAGGTGGGCCTGGGCTAGACACAGGGTTAGCTTAGCCCCCCAGAAGAATTTGACCCTTGCCCTTTGTCTTGGGAACCCAAAAGCTTAAAGTCAACGCAGTATGTGGTCTGGTCAACTCACTGGTTCAGCATGACATGCGGTGTGTTTATTTCTAGGCCCACCCCTGAATTAGCTAGAAAACAAACTCAGCACGGGCGAGCGAACCTTTTTCCTCTGTTTCGGCGAATGGGAGTCAGCACGCTCACAATAATAGATACTGTCAGGACACGCGCAATAGGAGGGTTGTCACTTTTAAAAAGGAGCGCGGAAACGGCCATTCCCTAAAGCTTGGTAGGTCCAGCCATCTACTTTATGCCTGACTGCGCTCAGGCTCACTCATCATGCTGGTTCAACGCAGCTCTGAGCCGCATTCCAGTCACCGTCGCTCTAGTATGTTTGCTAATCAGTTCACGCACGCGCAATTCCAGCCAGACGCCTTAACCTTGCACGCAGATCGCCAGTAAACTTAAAGCCCTGCAACACCCTTCGCCATCCTTCATGTCGGCAGCGCCTGGACCCGAGCCGCCGCTGAGCCCGCCGGAGTCACCGGTCTCCTTGCCAAGCGACGCAAGCTCCGTAGTTCATCTGCCATCCGACGCCGAGCCTGAGGCAGCAGCAGAATCAGCAGACCCTCACGCATGCTGCCTTTCAGGCTGCCGCAGGGTGCTCCAGGAGTCGCCAGCCTTGGCCCGACGAGTGCTCGAGCTGCAGCAAGCGCTGGATCAGAGCAGCCGCGATCAAGCCAGGATGCTCCAATTTGCTTGCTTGAAGCAATCGGGGTCGGGCACTGGCTGGCGCAGGTACCATGCCTGGAACATGGCCCTGTGCCAGGAAGCCACGAGCCGCATTCTAAAGCTAACGAAACACCAGATGAAAAAAATGAACAAGCAAATTTCAGAAGGCTACTCCAGCCGGAGCGCTCTCTAAAGGAGACCCAAAGACAAAAAAGCAGCCGGCCCGCTTTGCAACACGCAGACGCCCTGCTGGCCTGGCTGCATCAAAATGTTGCGGAGGACCTCGCAGAGGGCGTCCGCGTCGACGGCGAATGCGAAGCGGCCAAAAAGAAACGCATCGCTGCCGATCCTCTGCCGAAGCTGGCTAGCATCCCTTTCCTTGACCGCCTTGAAGAGGAGGAGCAAGGGGTCCGGTGGATGCCGCCAGGGACCACGCTGGCTGAAATGCACGATCTATCGATGTCATTCCTGCCAGACACGCGAGTGTCGTATTCGACCTTTATCGGATGCTATCACCTGCGGTGGGCCAAGCGCCTAAAGATCCGCAACGAAGGCCAGCACAGCAAGTGCTCCCTTTGCGAGCGATTTAAGGCGTATCGCAAGCAGTGCAGTGCGCCGGCTGACTCCAAAAAAGTTTCCGAGGAGTACGCAAGCCACTTGGAAGCTGTCATGCAAGACAGGGCCGCGGACCAGCGCCTGTGCGCAGCCGCTCAGTTGGCTGCGGGGTCCTTGACAGGAGTTCCCAGCAGCGAAAATTCGCTGCTATCCATCACAATCGACGCGATGGACGCAGCGAAATTTCGCTGCCCGCGCAACATAGGCGCCTCTAAAGAGTTTCAAAACCTTTGGCGACCCGAACTGAGTCTGATCGGTGCAATCACAGAAGGCCTGCGCGAGTGCTACTACTTGTGCGATCCCGACCTGTCAAAGAACGCCGACCTTCACATCACAATCATCGGCCATTCTTTGCAGCTTGCGAAAGAGAGCTTTCAGGCGCGGGGAAAGCCATTTCCCCGCCACCTGCGGCTCCACACCGACAACGCGGCGTCCGAAGGAAAAAATCAGACAGTTTTTTTCCTCGCAGCTTGGCTGGTGAAGCGCAAATTGTTCGACAGCGTGCTCCTAACTCAGTTTCGAGTCGGACACACGCACAGCAAAATCGACCAACGATTTTCTGAATTGAGGTCGGCGCTGTCGCAGTCCACCGTGCTGGAGGACCCGTCAGCTTTTGCAGAGGCAATCCGCTCCGGGGTGAAGCCCAGAGAGTCCCGCGAGCTCGCCGTCCACCACCTGCACGCAGCCCCAGACTTCAAAAGCTTCTTTCAACATTTGGAGCTCAGAGTGTCCGGGCACGCGCAGACTAAATTTCAAAAGCAGCGGAACGAGGAAGCGATTCATGCTTTTGGATTCGCGCTCCGCGGTAGCACCAGTGGCGGGCCAACTCTGCCATCAGCCGATCCTGACGCAGAGGATGTGATACTGACTTGTCAGCAGTACCTGAGCAGCCACGAGCCTTGCCAAGAGCCCGCTGTGTTTGCTCGGGCCACCGACTTTGAAAAGCTGCCGCCTAATGGCCCCTCGCAGCTGTCTGCACGGCTTTCGCTTTCGCAGCGCCAGCACCGGGAGTTCCAAAAAACTGCAGAGGCGATTTCGCGGGAGCCCTGGTCAATGCACGCAGGGTGCGCGTTTTTGCTGCAGTTTCTCGAAGAGAACGCGAACAACACCTCCGAGCAGTGGGTCCCTCTGCCCACGCAGTGGATGTTGCAAGGGACTCGCGCGGAGGTTGACGCTACCCGCGACGAACCGGTAGGACGGGCGCTGGCAGAAAATGCATTTTCTTGGAACCACGCCAAGTCCAAGTTGCAAGGCCACCGCAAAAATTGCGGCGCCTGCAAGTCAAGCAGCCAGCGCTGCTGCGACAACCGACAATCGGAGACGAGAGCACTGCCGCGGCCAGAGGCGCTAGCAGTTCTGAGGCAGCAGCTGTTCCAGAGCAGGGCCAGACTCTGTCCCACCCAGAGGCTGAGCCATCGACGCCAGAGCTGCCACCGCCCGCCGGTCCACTGGATGGAGGACCACTCTTGCCAGCCGCTTCTCGCGTGTCAGATCCAGGGGCAGAGCACGGCAGGGATACCATGGGTGCCCCGGCAGCCTTATACGGCAGAGGCGGCGCTCCGCCGAGAGTGGCAGCGCCCGGCTCAGACCCTTCGCCACGGCCAGCGGCCAAGCCGGCGGCAAAAGCCGAGGCCGGAGCAAAGGCAAAGGGCAAGGCGAAGGCCAAGGCCGCCAGTAAGGCAGCTGCAGCCAAGCCATCTGCCAAGGCCCGGGCCCAGGCTCTAGGCTCGGAAGCGCCCGCTGCCAGGCCACCCCGCAGACACCTGGGGCGCCTGCCAATGCCCGCTGGCGCTGCTGCGCTTCTCGGCTGCACCCGGTGTCGTTACAGCGCGTCTGGCTGCCAGCAGTGTCGAAAAAAGGCCGGCATCCAGCTGAACCAGGACGAAACTGCGTGGATCTGGAGGCCCGCCGACTAGCCAGCCAAGGTGAAAGCTTGGCGGGAAAAAGAATCGCTGCCCTGCCTAGACTGATTCCGATTCGACGCAGGCTACATTTGGCCACACTTCTGACCGCCACTTACTACTGCCGTCCAACGGTTCGTTCCGCGATGCGCGTTGGCAGTGTTGCTTTTCTTTGCGTCTTTGGCTTAGAACAGTTCTCTCTGATGTATTTCACAGCTGCAGCTCAACCCCCACATCTTGGCTCAAACCATAGCACCATGAAGAAGCCCATAGACAGGCACCCGTGACAAGTCAACCCACCACTTCCATTTGTCATACCTCCCGTTCAAATTGAACCCAGTCATCCTGGTCCGTCCAGCATCATGGCCGACCACAGCGACGACGTTGTCATCGCTTGTCCGCCGTCGTCACGAAGTCGCAGCCGACGGAGGCGAAGCTGGAGTCACTGACAGAGTGTCCACTCGGCGTCGTGCGTTTGCTGCAAGCTTTGAGATTTGTCACACATCTACATTTAGAAGCAGTAACTAGCGTCGGTCATGATGTTGAGTCACTGATATCTCCGCCGCCAGGTCAGCTTCGCAGCACCGGTCGGCCATCGAGATCGAAGACGAGGACGCAGGGCAGCACATCTTCATGGAATTCTTCTCGCCACCGCGGGTCGCCATACCTTTGCGGCGCGATGGATTTCTAGCAGTCTTGACATCGTCACGGGCTACGATTTCCTACAGTTCGAAGATCGCGCCCGGGCATGGAGCTTACTTGAAGCACATGACCCAATGTTTGCAATGCTGTCTTCCCCCTGCACGATGTTCAGCACAATGCAAAACGCCAATCTCGCGAAAATGAATCCCGCAGACAGAGCGCGGCGATTTGAGGAGGCAAACTGTCTACTTGACTACTCAATGATGGTGGCCAAGCGACAGTGCCGCAAGCGACAGCTTTTTGCCCATGAGCACCCTCAGAGGGCCAGGTCTTGGAAGCGACCAAGTGTCCAGGCCGTAGCAAAAGAGCCCGGAGTTCACAAGGTTTCTTTTGACCAGTGCAGGGTGAACTTGCGCACCCCGGTCACCAAGAAGCTTCTCAAAAAACGGACGACGCTGCTGACAAACTCTGCAGCTCTCGTCAATCTTTTCACCCCCCTTCAATGCTGCTGCTCTGAGGCACACGCAGTCATCGAAGGCTCCGAGGGCGGCCTCAGCAAGTGGTGCCAAGTCTACACGCCAGAGTTTGTCGATTTGCTGCAGAAGGCCGTCAAAGCAGAGTGGGAAAGCCGCCGCTAGACGGCAGCTGCGGCGCTTGCGCAGGGCCAGCATGCAGCCTCTCGGGACGCCTGCCCAGAGCGCTGGGTGATAGCACGTCGCCGACTCCAAGGAAGAAAAAAAAAGGAGTGACACCCATTATGTCGTCATGTCCAAATCTTGACGATCTGGGGGGGCAGAATTTCCGCCCCCCCAGATGGTCAAGTTTCGGCAGAAACTTGACGATCCCTCTTGTGAGTTATCAAAACTTGACGATGTGGGGGGGCAGGATTCCCGCCCCCCCAGTTGGTCAAGATTCATGGTTTCCATCCTGAGATGGTCAAGTTTCGGCAGAAACTTGACGATCTGAGGATTTCCGCCCCCCCAATTATTCAAGATTTGGGGTTGTGTAGTTTGGGAAATGTCACCCCCTCCCCCAGACGAGTTTTGGCTCAAATGACATTTGAAAGGACACATGCATCAGCAGTAGCCACGCATAGCCAGCTTCACATTCACATCAAAGCAGCACAGCAGCTTCACCCCCGCCGCCATTTTTGCCGCCTACGCTTTGCCCGCCATCATGGCGGCCAGCTTGGAGGCCAAGGCAGAGACAGATGAAAGGCCTGAAGACACAAGGAACCTCTCGAAGCAGCTCAGAGCCTGGGGCCGGCCACTCCTGCAGGAGCGCCGGTCCTAGGGCAGATTTTGCAAAGCCAGCTGGCCTTGCAGCCCGAAAATTTTCGAGAAGAGACACTGCGCATCACGGACGCCATCTTGGACGCGTTCGGGGGCCCTGTGCAATACTTAACCGCGATGCTGGGGGCGGATCCCAGCTCCAAATGGGGGGAGTTTGTTGACGAGCTGAAAGCCAACTTCCCCCCAAGGCCAGATCTGACATACTTATCTGGCACCAGCCTGTCTCAGTCACCGATGACCCTCTCTCTCTGGCAGTTGGGCTGGGGACTGAGCTGCACTTCCAAGCCGGCTACGTTCAAGATCACCGCGCGCCGGCTGGTAGACGAATACTTGTGCAACTCCTTCCTGACCGAGGCCGAGCCTTTGCTTCTGTATCAAGGCCCGGAATCAGGAGCAGCGATTGACGACAACGACCAGCCTGTGTTTTTCACGCACTATGTGAAAGGAGCTGCGCGTGCTACAAGCGTCTTGTTTCTTGCGCACGTATTGGTTCACCACCTAAAGGCCGACGTGGCATCTCTGAGTCCCCAGCTGCATCAAAGCATGACCGTGATCTCGGCAACTCGGTCAGTGGCGGCCACGGACGCTGCTTCCATCGCCATTGAAAATGCAAAGCTCAGCGCCCGAGGCGATATTCGAAAGGGTCATGACACCATCACCTGGCTCAGCAAACTCAGCCTGCTTAAGCAGAAGGGACTTTCGCCTACCGAAGTCATCCGAAGTCCTTCGGCGCTGGAACGAAGCAGCGACCCGCGAGTTCGCCCTGCAAGGGCAAAAGCGCACGGCCATCCTGCAGCTTTTGGAGCTGCCGCAGGAATCCGTGCTACTTTTGCTCGAGCACAGCTCCAACTTTGGGGAGGACACAGCTTTCGCGCACGACGCCTTTGCGAACAAACGTCTGTCACCTGGGTTCTCCCCCCGCGGCATCGCAAAGCCTTGGCAGAAGCGCCTCACAGTCACAGTGGACGGGTTCAACTTGTTCATCCAGCACGTGCACGGGACGCAAATGCGCAAAACCAGGCCGATGCGCAAAAAATGGGAGCCCTGGAAGAGGCCATGAGCATGGCACAGCTGTTGGTGAGTTGCGCAGCAGAGATGCAGCTTCAGCAGCCAGTTCCAAGCGCCTTGCTGCGAGAGAAAGCCATGCTGCCTTTTCTCGAGGGGACCATCGCCCTCGAGCTTGAGCTGCAAGCAGCTATCAGCGAGGCCAAGACAGACTTTCAGCCGGCAGACATCTCGGCATTCAAAGAGATCCGAGCTATCTGCCTAGCTGATAGGGATGAAAAGATGTCTGCAATTGGCCAGGGCCCTCGCATCACCGCAGGAGAACTCGAGAAACAGGCGTTTGAAGTGATGCTGGCATCAGCGGATCACGATGCCAACAGATATCGGGCTTGGCGGACAAAGTGCATGGACCGGGATGCAGCGCAATACTTTGCGCAGCTGCAGCACACCTGCAATCGTCAGGCCAAGCAAGCTGCGCAGGCGGTCTTTCAAGATGGGCCTACCTGGCATATGAGGCTGGCGATGTTTGACAAGCGCGACGCTGCAAATCTTGAGGCCGCCCTCCAAATGGCTGAGAAGATCACAAAGCTGCACCAGCTTCCAGGCAGGGAAGCCGTGCACAACCTGTGCATCATCAACTGGGCATCGCCTGGCATATACAGCGGCAGCGCCCAAAAAGCGCAAGCAAATCTGACCGGAGCTCTAGTGAATGGACCGGCTGTGTCGCTTGGCCTCTGCCTCAGCCCAGTCCATTTCTACAAGCGCGGCAGTCTGTACAAAGCAGAGCAAGGCTGCGTGAATCAGCTTGCCAACGCAGCTCTGAACACGGACAACCGCTTTGCAGTGGCCTACTCCGGGAGGACAGACGAGAGGGAGCGGCGAGCTTTGTTGCAGCCAGGCTTCATCTTGATGCCGGGCGGCCAGGAAGAATCCTCCGCGCACAAGGCCACATGGCAGTTCTGGAGGTCGGCGCCCGTGTTTCAGCAGGCGGTGATCGGTGGCGTTTCCATGCTGCCTTCCTCGCAGATGCTGACCATCGAGGACATGCACCCAGAAGCTTTGCCAGACTCGTCTGACTTGGCAACGCATGTCAGCCAGTCAGAAAAACACCAGCAAATTGGACAGGACGCCGCCCGCAAGCTGATGCAAGCCGTTCTACCCGGCGCTGCTATCAGCGCCAGCCGGGCGGCCATCCTCATCGTCGATTGCTCTGCCCACACTCTGGAGTTCGCCAAGGCCGTATATGAGGAGCGGGCGCGCAAGTCTGCAAACGTGCCACTGTACTATCTCGGCTTCGCAGAGACATCTGCCGAGCTGGAGTGGCAGCAGCACCATTTGCAGACATGGCTGAGCGAGGGCTTTTTGAGTGGCGACTTGCCCCTGCCTGCAGGCGCCCCTGCACTGATGTCGAAGGAGCTACCGGCAGAGCTCACATCGGCGCTCCCTCCCAAGCCAGAGCTGAATACTCTCACCTGGTCGAACAAGAAAGCCGACGGTCTTCCCACGCTGAAAACGCCAGAAAAGGTTTTGCTAGCCTGGCATGACCATGCAGTCTTCGGCGCAGAGTTTCAGGCATGGCTATCGCGCACCCGCGAGACCATTCCGCTGGACTTCACCGGCGATGACCCTAGCAGCAGCAGACCTGCAAGCGTGGCCGGTGGCTCTGGGACCCCGGTCAAGCGAGAGTCCGCTGGGGGCGAGTCAGGGCAGCCACCTCGGAAAGTTCTGAAGACCGAGTCGGTGGAAGCCAAGTCAATCCCCTTGGCTGAGCTGCCAAAACCTCTGTGCTGGCAAGCAGCACTGCCGTCAGGCGCAGCCAAGAACAAGGGGAATGCCCTGAAGATGGTGATCACCATCGGCAAAAGAATCTTCATAGCCAACGAAGCAAGCGCCTCTGAAATAACCCTGCCAGCCGGAGCCACAGTGGCCGGCTACTACAAAGGCAAATTTCTTCTGCAGGGCGACCGAAAAGCCGAAGCAGATGGCTTGCAGCTTCGCGCGTCGGACTGCTTGTACCAGCTTCACGATAGCAATAGCCTCGTCGTCTTTGAAGGTAAAGTCGCCACTGTGGGGCAAGTCGTGGCGCAGAAGCGTGCGCTGACCGCCCTCAGCGTCGTAATCTGCTACCACGACTTGGTAGAGCAGCCGACCCCTGAAGACGCAAAGCATTTCGTGCTTCAGGTGAAGAACCAGGTGCTATTCCGTCCAGAGAACGCACCCGCCGCCGAGGACAAGAAAAGCGCAGATGGCTGCGTAACTGTGGCACTGACCAGCTTGGCAGGCTGTCTGGAAACATCCTGCTGGGAAACGTCTCGCACGCATCTGCTGTGGGCAGTGAAGTGGTCTGCCCGCGGTTTGCAGCCCGTCCGCCCCATGATAGTCCTCGCCGCCAGCACCACTGTCACAGCAGGGCAAGCGGTTGAGCTTGCCAAGTAGGCGTGGCCGCCCCGCTTGCAAGGCCTTTGGCACTGGGTTAGGCACTCTTTGGCTCTGAGGGAAAAAGCATTGCGTTGTGTCTTTTATGTTGCTTGGTCCAGGGTCCATCGTGCTGAAATACTTCACAAACGTCAATGATTTTGCATTGAACCCTTTGGCTGTTTGGCTCAAAATCATTATCAGTCTGGTATGGCTGTCAGGTCATGCCGTCGCCACAGAGTCATGTCAGGGCCCAGCCACAAGTCTCAAATTAGCTAGGCGAGCTGTTGTCGCCCCCGGTCAATGTCAAGCTTGTAGTCTTAGTTTTCTGCCCTCTGACGCCCTCGCCATGCCGCCGAAAACCCTGGCCAAGGCGGCACGCCTGGCGTGCCAGCAGCGGCAAGCTCCGGCAGCCTACTGCCAGACCCGGCCGCGCCCAAGCAGCGCAGTGCTGCGTCTGCGATGGCTACTGGCTCGGCGGGGCCAGCGCCATCAGCGGCGGGGAAAGCTGCCCAGCCGCCTCCAAGCGGGAAGCCAAAGGCAGCCCAGGAAGCGGCGCCTGCTTCGGCCGCCCCAAAGCAGCCAGCAGCACACGCGCCTGGCGCTGCTGCCACCGCAGTGACAAGTCACAGCCAGCCAGCGCAGCAGGCGCCCCCTGCGGCTGCTGCTACTGGCCAAACCCAGCCAGCGCAGCAAGCACGCCCCGCTGATGCCACGGGCCAAGCACAGCCGCCGCAGCAAGCGCCCCTTGCAGCTGCCGTCACTGGCAAATCCCAGCCAGCACAGCAGGCGCCTCCTGCTGCCGCTGCCACTGGCCAAGCCCAGCCAGCGCAGCAAGCGCCCCCTGCAGCAGCAGCAGCAGCAGCAGCAGCCACCGGCCAATCCCAGCCAGCACAGTCAGCTTCGCAAGGTGCAGCAGCAGCCACCACTCAGCCAGCGCAGGCCGCACTTGCCACTGCCAGCCAGGCAGCGCAAGCAGCACCTGCTACTGGCGACGCGCAAGCGCCAGCGCCAACGACAAGCAGCCCGGATCTGCAGCTGCCGCCGCCGCCGCCCCCAGCGGCTCGTCCGCCGATGCGCCATAGGTTTGCTCCAGTGATTCAGTGCGACATCTGTGGGCAAACTATCAAAGGCGACATGCTGGCGCTGCGCGCGCATCAGACCACCAGCAGCCGGTGCGCTGCCACTTCCAGTGGCCAAGGTCTGGCCCACCGCGTGCGCTGCCCTCATGGCTGCCCAAGAACAATCGCCCGCGATGATGCGTGGGCTTTGCAGCAGCACGAGATGCACTGCGAAGCACTCCGCGCACGTGAGGCGAACGACCCGCCGAGCTACTGGCGTAGCCAGCGCTCGGGGTCAAATCAAGATCAGCCCAGCCACTGGCAAGGCCAGCGCTGGGAAGATCGCCGTGACTGGCATGACAATGACGCCGGCTACTGGCAGCAGGAAGGCCAGCGCTGGACGCCCAACAACCGCTGGCAACGCAGCAGGGCCAGGAGCCAGCCCCCAGCTCGCGCAAGCGATATCATCCTCCGCCAAGCAATGAGCTGGGAACTGGAAAGGGCTGCCGAGGCGCTGCAGCAAAGCCAGCAGCAGCAGCAGCAGCAGCAGTGGCGCGAAGCTGCTGCGCCGTGGCGCACCACCTCTGAGTCGGAGCAGCCCAGCCACTGGGACAGCCAGCGCTGGGACGGCGACGACGGGTGGCAGTCCTGGCAGCCCAGCCACTGGCAAAGCCAGCGCTGGGATGATGCGCCGGACAACTGGCGGCAGTCGCGGTGACCTCGCGCAGCGCAGACTCGCGGAAGAAAAGAGTATGTTCGCCGCTTGCTTGGGATTGCAACGCTCACATTGTGCTGTATGATTTTCCGCGCGTTGGGTACCATTTGGGGTAGCAGTTGGCGGACTTAGAACACACTAAAAAAAATCGGCATGCACATGTGGTCCAACGCAAGCAAGTGATATCAGGGCACTGGCTTCGAACTTCGAAATAGCTCAGGGCTGCAAGCGGGTCCTGTGGGAAACGCCCCCCCCCCAAACCACCCTTGATTGGCATGTACCGATGTGGGATTCAAGCGGAAACGCCTTGCGGTGACACCTCCAGAATCTATCCCGTCTTGTTATCGCGCATTGAAAAGCAGGAAAGTTTGCCGACAAAAAAGGTCGATTTTACATTGAAAAAAGTCGATTTGAAAAAAATATGCCTTAACCGCCCGCGAGCGAGACTGGCTCGGTGGACGCTCGTGACATTCGGAAAGCGCCCGCGAGCGAGACTGGCACGGTGGACGCTCGTGACATGCGGAAACCGCCCGCGAGCGAGACTGGCGCTCGGACATGCGGAAACCGCCCGCGAGCGAGACTGGCGCGGTGGACGTTCGTGACATGCGGAAACCGCCCGCGAGCGAGACTGGCGCGGTGGACGCTTGTGACATGCGGAAACCGCCCGCGAGCGAGACTGGCGCGGTGGACGCTCGTGACATGCGGAAACCGCCCGCGAGAGACACTGGCGCGGTGGATGCTCGTGACAGGCGGCGGAAACCGCCCGCGAGCGAGACTGGCGCGGTGGACGCTCGTGACATGCGGAAACCGCCCGCGAGCGAGACTGGGGTGGACGCTCGTGACATGCGCAAACAGCCCGCGAGCGAGACTGGCGCGGTGGACGCTCGTGACATGCGGAAACCGCTCGCGAGCGAGACCGGCGCTGTGGACGCTTGTGACATGCGGAAACCGCCCGCGAGCGAGACTGGCGCGGTGGATGCTCGTGACATGCGGAAACCGCCCGCGAGCAAGACTGGCGCGGTGGACGCTTGTGACATGCGGAAACCGCCCGCGAGCGAGACTGGCGCGGTGGACGCTCGTGACATGCGTAAACCGCCCGCGAGCGAGACTGGCGCGGTGGACGCTCCTGACATGCGGAAACGGCCCGCGAGCGAGACTTGCGTGGTGGACGCTCGTGACATGCGGAAACCGCCCGCGAGCGAGACTGGCACGCGGTGGACGCTCGTGACATGCGGTTTAAACCGCCCGTGAGCAAGACTGGCGCGGTGGACGCTCGTGACATGCGGGAACCGCCCGTGAGCGAGACTGGCGCAGTGGACGCTCGTGACATGCGGAAACCGCCCGCGAGCGAGACTGGCGCGGTGGACGCTCGTGACATGCGGAAACCGCCCGCGAGCGAGACTGGCGCGGTGGACGCTCGTGACATGCGGAAACCGCTCGCGAGCGAGACTGGCGCGGTGGACGCTCGTGACATGCGGAAACCACCCGCGAGCGAGACTGGCGCGGTGGACGCTCGTGACACGCGGAAACCGCTCGCGAGCAAAACTGGCGCGGTGGACGCTCGTGACACGTGGAAACCGCCCGCGAGCGAGACTGGCGCGGTGGACGCTCGTGACATGCGGAATCCGCTCGCGAGCGAAACTGGCGCGGTGGACGCTCGTGACACGTGGAAACCGCCCGCGAGCGAGACTGGCGCGGTGGACGCTCGTGACAGGCGGAAACCGCCCGCGAGCGAGACTGGCGCGGTGGACGCTCGTGACATGCGGAAACCGCCCGCGAGCGAGACTGGTGCGGTGGACGCTTGTGACATGCGGAAACCGCCCGCGAGCGAGACTGGCGCGGTGGACGCTCGCCCGCAAGCGAGACTGGCGCGGTGGACGCTCGTGACATGCGGAAACCGCCCGCGAGCGAGACTGGCGCGGTGGATGCTCGTGGCATGCGGAAACCGCCCGCGAGCGAGACTGGCGCTCGTGACATGCAGAAACCGCTCGCGAGCGAGACTGGCGCGGTGGACGCTCGTGACATGCGGAAATCGCCCGCGAGCGAGACTGGCGCGCTCGACGCTCGTGACATGCGGAAACGGCCCGCGAGCGAGACTGGCGCGGTGGACGCTTGCGCGCGAGCGAGACTGACGCGGTGGACTCTCGTGACATGCGGAAACCACCCGTGAGCGACGCCCGTGACAGGCGGAAACCGCCCGTGAGCGAGACTGGCTCGTGACAGGCGGAAACCGCCCGCGAGCGAGACTGGCGCGGTGGACGCTCGTGACATGCGGAAACCGCCCGCGAGCGAGACTGGCGCGGTGGACGCTCGTGACATGCAAAAACCGCCCGCGAGCGAGACTGGCGCGGTGGACGCTCGTGACATGCGGAAACCGCCCGCGAGCGAGACTGGCGCGGTGGACGCTCGTGACATGCGGAAACCGCCCGCGAGCGAGACTGGCGCGGTGGACGCTCGTGACATGCGGAAATTCGCCCGTGAGCGAGACTGGCGCGGTGGACGCTCGTGACAGGCGGAAACCGCCCGCGAGCGAGACTGGCGCGGTGGACGCTTCGTGACATGCGGAAACGGAAACCGCCCGCGAGCGAGACTGGCGCGGTGGACGCTCGTGACATGCGGAAACCGCCCGCGAGCGAGACTGGCGCGGTGGACGCTCGTGACATGCGGAAACCGCCCGCGAGCGAGACTGGCGCGGTGGACGCTCGTGACATGCGGAAACCGCCCGCGAGCGGGACTGGCGCGGTGGACGCTCGTGACATGCGGAAACCCCCCGCAAGCGAGGCTGGCGCGGTGGACGCTCGTGACATGCGGAAGCCGCCCGCGAGACTGATGCGGTGGACGCTTGTGACATGCGGAAACCGCCCGCGAGCGAGACTGGCGCGGTGGACGCTCGTGACATGCGGAAACCGCCCGCGAGCGAGACCGGCGCGGTGGACGCTCATGACATGCCGGCGAGCGAGACTGGCGCGGTGGAGGGTCGTGACATGCCGGCGAGCGAGACTGCAGGCGCGGCGGACGCTCATGACATGCGACAACCGCCACGTGCGCGGCTCCATGTGAACAGCCCGGCGTTCCAGGTACGCCATAATTGTCCTTTTTGCCGCACACCTGACCCGAACAAACGGTGCCAATGTGTTTCTAGGACGAACCCTCTCTTCAGAAGCTGTAGCCTCTTGGGGTTCGCCCTACTTATTTGGAAGCAGCCTGGAAGCACGTTGACATGAATATGCTGAGCACACTCGGCCCAAACAAAAGGGCGCAGGAACATCCGAACAGCTGACCCCGGTCTACGCAGATCGTGGTAACACTGTGTCTCAGACTTGTTTCAGACAGGCGTCAGACCCACCAAGTGACCGAGGCTTGTCCACACCGAGCCCCCCGCAAAAGCGCAGCGCCGGCCCAGTCTCCACACACCTGCGGCGAATCCACCCAACTTGCCATCCACACTCAGCCAATCGACAACGTGCGCGGCCCTTTCCACAAAGTCACCAGTTGCAATTGGTTGCGAATGGGAAAATAGGTGGAGAAACTAACGAATCCAAGCAGTGCGTGGCCTGTCATGTTTCACCCGTGCCTTTGCCTTTTTCTCTGTGCTTGGTCAGAGTACAGGCTGCTGGCTGCCAATCCCGCTTGAGTCGCGGTTGCTCCCCTTCTTCGTCTGTTTCGGGGTTGATTTCCCAACTGTGAACAACTTAAATCTTGGTTTGCCTTCGGACCCTTGAGTCGGAAAACAACGGGATCCACATCCCATGGGGAGTGAGGCTGGTTTGCTTTTGGGCTCCCGGGCTCCTCTTGTGTTTTTGTTCTGATCATTTTTAGTAGGGGGGCTGCAAAAAGCAAAGTTTTGGACTGCCGTATCAGCAGTTGGAAGTTTCAAGCATCTCCGTTTGGGGCCGATTCAAATGGAGGTCGTTTTGGTGGGTGATGTTCCCTGTGATTGTCGAGGTTGCCTGGGGTGGGTAAGGGTATGGGGGCGTCGGGGCCTGGTGTTGTTGCAGATACTGGTTCACATTCCCAGGTGGACTTCGTGTCTTTTCCAAACCTAACCTGCTCAGGGCAGGATCTGAATATGAATTTCTGTTCACCCATTTTTGGGGGCCATTGGACTTTGGGCAATCCACTTGGCGAGTCTTGCAGGAGGAGGAGAAGCAAAGCCAGGCCTGGCAGCGCCGAGTCCCGGTCCTTGCTAATTTTCTGGTGGCTCAAACATCAGCTGAGCAACGTCCGAAACCTCCGTGCGCATGAGTAGTAAGAGATATCGACCTGCGCGTAAGCAAGACCTCCACCCACGTAAGGCGGCGTAAGTGGGTGGCGTAAGCAACACCTCCACATTTGTGCCGCGCAAGCAAATATATTTCAATTACTCGTTGCGTAAGGCTTGCCTACGCGGGCGCGTAAGCAAAATGAGATGACATACTGTGGGTGGACGAAATCCTGAACCACGTGGGATAGATGAGGCCCTATTAATAATGGAATAAACCACCTACCAATTGGTGCAGGACTTTGTCGCTGCGCTGTTGAATGCCATTGGGGTGGGTCTTAAAGGAAGCCGGGTTGCTGCTGTTTTGACTGGGCCAGGAGATTCCCTGGCAAAAATAACTGATTTTTATTTTCAACTGTTTGGGTTGCCAAATGGCAGTACACACGTGGCTATCTTTTTTGGTGTTGGCAGGGAAACCAAAAGGGAAAACCGGTGCCATTTTGGGGGGGTTTCCTAAAACAGATACGGCCGGCGCTTGCCGGAACCTGTTTCAGGTTCCGTGCGAGGGTGCGTGCGAGGGATCGACATTTTGGTCCATCAAAGCCACGTTCTCGAGCGAATGCGGACGAATTGTTTTTTGGTTGATATGGTCTCTCACCAAACGGGAGTCAGAGTCAGCCCCTTTTGTGTTTGGAGTTCGGCTGAAATCCGAGGTGATCATTGAGCATTGTCGAAGCGCTCCCTGGGCTGAAGCACGCCGATTGAGTAGGGACCAGCCCCTTCTTATAAAAGCCCAGTGCCCTTTTCCCTCCAAATATCGGAGAGCTGGCCCCCGCACCAAACCAACTCCTTGACGTTTTGTTTTTTTGCCTGACGCAACCACAAAGCGCGAACCTTGTTCATCGCGGTTTTGGCGCATCGCCAAGAGGTGCATAAGGAGGAAGCGCCGGACCCCCAGAGGAGCTTAGGTGTCTTTGGTAATTCGCCATGTTGCTCTTGACTTCCTCTCTTCGTTGCTGAAAAGGCAAGGCATGGGTTTCCTTTGCTTGCCATTCAAACCTCTGAAGAGGCTCCCTATTTGTGAAAGAACTCGAAGTCCGCCAAAAGATCTGTTGACTGGCAAAGTCTGCCGCTTGGAACGCATTTGATCACACACACACAACAACTTTACCGGATCATGGTGATAGAGGAAGAGGCTGAATTAATAATTACCAACATCATTTCATCCCTATGATGATAACTCAATTTCATTTTTGGTACCCCACAACCCCAGCTTATTTAGCTACTGTGGCAACTGGAACCCACTGGGTTCTTCAAAGCCACCAAACCACCGATTCGAGGTAAGCTGATCGAGATTCCAAAGAACCCGTTGGAGAGTTGGAATCTCCCGCGGCCAGCTCGGCCCAAGAGAAAAGGGGCCAGCGGCGCGCAAGCTTCGACGATGAAAGGCCAGCTCAGCCAAATGAATCGCGTGGCTCTTCACAAAATCGAACGACCGTCGAGATCCCCTAAAAGGGGTCCCTCAATTTCCCTCTGACCTCCAAAAGTTCAGATTTTTACTTGGAATCACGAAGCAAGGCAACCTTTAAGAAAGCCAATGACCCCTCTTCTTGCCCTTGGACTCCCATTGGGCCCTAAGAAGGCTCCTTCTGAGCTTTTCGGGGGGGGGGGCGGCGGCATTTGGCTTCGTCCCTATTTACCTGTCCCAATTGGTTGCACGGCAGATTTTCCAAACTCCTGGTTCAGGAAGCCCCCGCGTTCGCCCATCACAAAAACCCAACCCGAATAGACTCCAACGGTCACGCTCCTGAACCGAAGGAGCCTTAAACACCAATCCAATGTTGTGGCGTTTCTCAAAAGGATTGGTATCATGTTCTATGGCAACCAATTCCAACGCTTCCAGACAACAGGTCCGAATCCCTTTTGAGAAACTCACATTTGAGGAACCTCCGCACGGCTTGTCTCCCAGATCTGTACATAGTACATTGTTATAGTTATACACATTTGCATGTGTTGCTGTTTTTACCTTCCATCCATCCCTCTATGTATGGATGATGCATATGACGGTTTTGTGCTAGTCTAGGTATGTACCTGTTTGGGCGCGAGAATTTGTTTCTGGCCCCTTTGGGCAAGTGAATCTGCTGGTTTCCCTTAAGGAACCCCAAGGAATTTCGGGGATCCCTGTTGCTCTGCCCACCCCCTTGTTCCCCTCACTCACTTGCCCAAAGCCAAGCTTTTACATTTTCAGGCAAGGTGGCAAAAGGTGCTCAGCTTTTATTTCTAGGTCCTTCGGGCAAGTGAGCTTAGTGATCCACACGAGCTGCTTCTGCTCGGCGTCTTCTCGCCAGGTTTACACGAGACGGCCACGGCCGACAGCACGGACTGCGCCGCAATCGCTTTCGCTTGTGTCAGGGGTCTGGGGTGTCCTTTGTTTCATTTTTGGGGGGTTTGGGAGGGCGGAGGGGGTGTGCGCCAGGAAGTAATGGGCCGCCGAGTTTTAGACGAGCTCACTGTTAAAAAAGCAAAGTCACCGTGTAGGCCCTTCAATTAGGGATCTCGTAGTGCAGGTTTAGGAGCTGCAGTATTGTGAGGATAGGGCCCAAATTCTCGGGAATCCCAGACAAGGAATTGAGCAGCGGCAAGATGAAGGTTGACCCCTGATTATCCCTGATTACTTCCCCCCCCCCGCAGTTATTCATCATGGGGGGGGGTCCCTTTTTAGAGGGGATTCCTTTTCTTCGGGCAGACCCCCTGATGAATCACTGGGGGGTGAGGTTATCAATCAGGGGTCAACATTAGTCGCGATGTGGTCTGTGAGAGTATCAGTTTCGCGGATAAGTGGGTAATGGTGCACAGTTCCCCTGACGGTCGCTAGTGGCTTTTATTTTCCCCGCAATGTCATATTCTAAATCCCTTCCTCGCTGGTCTCCCCCGGATAAGTCTTATTTCGGGGAACCGGAGGCAAAGGTTTCCGCCCCACGATTTTCATTCCCCCCCTTTATTCTTGCTGGTCGCCAGCCATCTCCGTCGGGTTTTAGTCTAGTTTAATTTGAGGGGTGTTCGCATGTAACCCACAAGTTGAAGTCTTTGAGGGGATCTTCAGCCAACCAATTTTACTACAAGGCGGCCCAGTAGGGATCTGAGGCCAGCCCAGTATTGAAACTCTGAAGCGCTGCCTAGTAAATCCCGGCCGTTAAAGATGGCCAGCCGTTGTCAGGGTGGCTCCCGCGGAGACCTAAAGACAGGTAAATGGAATACTGAGTAGCTACGGCCCTATGTAGCCCCTTTGGGTGTGTCTTTTTCGAGTTTCCCGTTGTTTGTTTTAAAGGGAGTTCAAAACGAAAACTAACCATTTTCTGGGTCCCTAATTTTGAGACAACTAATTGGTCCAACCTCAGTGCCGGATTCCTTTGAGGTCGAATCTTCCAAGTTCCAGTTGGGGTTATTCTCAAGTGTCCAAAGCGACTCGACGCTGGCCTCATTGGTTTGCCCACATATATCGGGCTTCCGTTTGAAGGTTCCAAAACGTCAACCTGTCATTTCCGGGTCCTTAGGGTATCTCTGTCCAGTTTTGATCCAGATGGACCTAACACGAGGTTTCCCAGTTATAGGCCGTTTCCCGCTTTTGCGAATCCAAACGGTCGCGACGTACGACCTTCCAGGGCTTGGCTACCCCTCCTTCTTGCTCGTTTTTGCCATGTGTTATCATTTGTTCGTTTTTTGAGGGGTTGCTCCCCATCAAAGTAAACCAGGGGGGCTGCTTAATCGGGTCCCGAGTGTGCTCCTTGACTTGCATTTGCTGTACATGTTTTATATCGCCGTTCTTCTTCGAGTATGTGACATGTTAGTAGTTTCAAATGAGCCTATCACTATTAGACAATGGTTTATGCTTTTCAGCAGGCTGAAGCAAATGGAAGGTTTCAGATCAAATCTACTGAGTGTCACTGTTTTTGACATGTGTTTCAGGTGTTTTTGTCTTGTTTCTATCCGTAGTAGGGGGCTGCAACAAAACCATCAGTTGTTTCGCAAGTCCATACCAATTGAACGTAGGTTTTCCAGGCACATTTGCAGCAAACATCCAACAACCCTCCAACAAACCTTTTGAGCATACCTATGAAGATGTGTTCCATCAGGTGTCCGGTGCGTAAAAGGTATGGAGGGTCCTTGGAAAGAAGGTCTCGAATGTCGACCCCGCATCAATAAGCCCCTGTTTATTAATATGAGGGTGTTTTTTTGGTTTTAGTGGGAAATCATCACTTTTGGAGGGGAATCATCACTTTTGGAGGGGAACACCCTCATATTAGTAGAACGGGGCTTATTGATCCGGGGTCAACATTAACTCTACTGCTATTGGGTTGGATCTTTAGACTTGGATACCCCCTCATATTTCCTTTTACCTGCAAACAGTGAAACTTTTTGCTGGGGGATTTATAGCACCCAGCACCCAGTGCCACGCTTTGAGGAGTCCACGACGCTGCTGGCGCAGCTCTGCGAGCTGAAAAGCTGCCGCGGCGTCACCGAGACCATCCGCCGGAAGGCGAATCGGCGAGTCGTTCGGCCGATTTGTTTGCTTTTCGGATTTCGGGTCGCAAGCAGGCAGGGGTTGGCCTAAGGCAAAGGGATACTCAGGATTTGCTTACGTGTACCCCCTAGTACCCCACTTTCTGAACAATTTGCAGACAATGATAGTCCCTAAATTGTACAAATGTTGGGGTTCTAGTGGGGGGGGTATACATGGAAGAGGCCTGAGATACACAAGAAGCCTGCATGTGGGTGTGACTATTTTCAATGGGGACTCCACTGAGTTCCTGGACTTTAAACTTTTTTGGAAGACCATTTTAAGTGTAAAACACCTTTCTTAGTCCATCCACTTCGGTCTTTGAGAAGCTTCCCATGCGGTGGCGGATTTTTTTCGCCAGGTGGAGAACCAGCTGGCGGCCCCGACCAGCCCCTGCCTCTCCACCACCCACAGCCTCAACTCCCGAGAGTCGACCAGAAGCCGGGCACCCCAAGCCTTCGATTTCTCGGTTCATTTCGCCCAAGCCCTGCGGGTTGCGAGTTTTTGGTCACTGGTAGGGTACCAGCGACGTTCTGATTCAAATTAGGCTTTTGTTTACGGTTTAGGTGGTTTACTGGTTGGGTTTTCTTATTTAACCCACTAAAGCTTTAACATCTTTAACCTTTGACAAGTGAAGCCCATGTGGGATCCGAAAACCGCTCTGGGGTGACCCCTTGAGCGGCTCCGGGGTTCCGGGCTTGCTGTTGGGTCCCGGTACTGAGCTTACTTTCGCTTGCTGCAAAGAATATGTTGTTGGATTTTCCCCTTTTGGTTTTAGGGAACTCTTTCTGTCACCGAACAGTGAAGCAAATGGAAGCTTAATTTGCAAGGGGTTTTCCTGTAAGATGTCCACCAGCCCATTTGTTGTTGGGCTCCCAATTCGCTTTTGTTCTTTGTGCTGTGGAAATCAGCGGTTTGCCATGCCAGAGACAACTTTTCGGCGTTCAAGAGATCTAGACTGCCTGTAACTTGTAATTCTCCAAACTGAAGCCAGAAGGGGGGATTGGTAATCTGTGATTTGTCCAGATCCCCTATCCAAAACGACACCATTTAGGAGTGGGGGCGCATCAGTTGAGGAGTGAGGGCATTGTTTTTTCCCATTGGCGAGTATAATTTGAGCGGTGCATCTCAATGCACCCGTAAGAGGCTTAAATCTTGAATTGTGATTTGCTGCAACTCTTCAAGACATTTCCTTATCCACTCGTATCCACTCATCGCCGCTGAAGAGGTTTTAGGTCTGGCTCGATCCAAATGACCTTCTCAAGTTTCCGGACAGGGGGCAATCGCTCCAAAGGTGAAAAGCCACAGCCGGATATTGAAAGAATCGCTGTTGGAATACTGGCCCTTTCCATGGGGATGTAAACGATTTCGACCTCCAACCGAACTTTTGAGGACCCCTCAGGTTCACTTCAATCGGCCCAATGGTTTGGTACTCGCTCGCTTCTAAGGCACGCGCAGGCATATCCACAATAGATTGGCAACATAAATGGTACTTGGTGGATGGTTGGTTAATGCCTTTGATTTGTTCCGCTGGTTTCCTAGATAGTTATGCAGGCATGCTGCTCAAACCCCGGTTCAGAACAGAACTGTGGGAATGATAGAGGTTTCCCCGAACCTCCTTTCAGTGAAGTGTGAATGTGTCATTGGCAAAGGCTTTTATCACGCCAATTTCCACCATTTTCTCGAAACCAGCTACATGAATTTCTACAGGAAACCCCTGGGTTTGGTGGGTATTTGGTTAGCTTCCTGTAGTTTCTCCAAAATCAGGCGCTGTGGCCGCCAAAGGAGATGCTTGCGAGTTGCCCAGTTCCAACACTATGAGCTCATGCCTTCGATTCCTGCCAAGGATGCATCGAAGTAAACCATTTCACCCAGTCGCCCACACGATTTCTGAGCCATGAGGCTTGACGCCGCGAGAAGGCAGTCCCGAAGAGTCCCCGCTCTTTGAGGCAACGGACGTGAGGGTGATCGCTATCTGCTTTTTTTGGCCTGGGGACCAGGCATCCGGTTCCTTAGGATTTTGGTGGGTTTTTTTGGGGATCATCTAAACGCAAACTTTTAGCAGGGAGTTTCTAAACGGACAGCCCAGTCTTGACGTGATTTGACACGAGTTCACTCGCAGACTTCTGGTGCGATTGGCCACCCTCATGTCTCTGCGATGTGGCAACCTTCTGGCTGTTTGTTGGAAGGGAGCTGTTTGGGAGCTGGGGGTTTCCGAATTTGCTTTTCAACAAGGAGCTAAGGAGCTACCGACCGGAGGCCTGCAAGGACATGCTCGTCCTGTGGAGTTTCTTAAGATCGAAACAAAGAAACCTGCTTCCCAAGCCGGCGTCCTTGTTCCTAATTGAAAAGACTGGACATTTTGCGCGAAAGGTGTTTAGAACCCCTACTATGTCTCACTCCCTGAGTTCATGGACATATTTGTTTGGGGGAAGACGGTTTTAGTGGCAAACAACAAGTTTGGACTTCTGACCAATCTGCTGGTAACTGCAAGTCCGGGGCGTGCAACTCCCCCACAAGTGATCCGGATCTGCTCCAAGGTTCCACCGCAAACCAGGCAAGGCGTTGATTAATCCGAAGTGTACGATGGATCCCTAGATATTGTAGCGAACCAACCGCACCTTGCGGTAAATCGCAGGATTGTCCGTGCTTCCTACTTCCAATTTTGAGGGAATCCGGCCTGGGCCCTTTTCCATGGTAAACAGCAAGTTGCTCGACTGTTTGGGCTCCACTGGAAGACTTAGCGTGCTTCAGGTTGCCTACGAATGTGTTTGGATTATTCTCCCTTTTAAAGGGAATCTATCACTGGAATTATTGGTTTTCCTTTTTTTTGGGGGGGGGACCAGCACATTCAAAGCCAACACGCCCATGCCATGGCTCCCTTTGTATGCGCTGTGCCTCAGTATGGGAATAAACCTTGGATGGACAAAATCCATGTCGTGGTTTCTCAAATATAATCTCATTTGTCCCCAGTGGTGAGTGGGTTTCATGGATTTCGCAACCACCCACAGTATGAACAACTCACAACTTGTTTGGTTTGTTTGTTGGTTTCGGAAGGTCCAAATGTCCCAGAGAAGCCTGTATCTTTTGGCAAAAGTGGCGATCGTTTCAGTGGAAGCCACCAGTCGGTTGCAACTTTCTCAGTTGTCCAAAGCCGGCCTGATCTGACCTGTTGGTTTCCCTGTTAATGCCATTTTTTTGTCATAGTATTTCCGAGTCCCTAAAAAAGGCAACTCAGCTTCAGAGGAAATGCAGTGACCATAGGTGTCCTTTTTGATCGGTCACTTTGGTCAAAGGTCGGCTGGGTTCCACTGGTTTAGTGTTTTCCTTTCCCGGGTAAAAACGGGAAACCAAAAGGGAAAACTCTGAGTCACGTGGTCCAGGAGTCCGAGAAGGACTTTTCCACTGCCTGGCAGACAGACCAAGCCCGGGACCAAGCCCGAGTGGGAGACCTGTTTCGATCCGACGAAAATCGATGAAGTTTGGGGGGGAGGGGGGTTCACTCTGGCAGGACAAATGCACACCAGCATATCCCTACCCAAATGTGTAGGATCATGCATACGACCATGACCATAAGAGTCAGAACGATTACATTACTTTTTGTTTGGTTTCATGGCACCCCACTTCCTGAGTTTGAGATAGCCGTCTTGGGTAGCCCGGAATGAGGTATGTTTCCGGGTGTAATCAGAGGCGAAAACGAGCTCAACCATGATGAAAGACCATTTCTTGCCAATTCCATTTTTCAGGTTGTGGGATTTGTGTAATTTGCACAGATTGGGGTCTTGGCTCCGGCTTTATCTGCAGCACATGATGCAAACATGAACGGTTCTGCCGATGAAAGATATGTTCATACAGAATCCTTGCTTCAGGCTCTGGAACTACAGAGAAATGGAAAGCACGGTCAAACATAGATTTGCGACATGTCAAAACCGTCGATTTCAACTACACCGTTTTATTTACCCACGTGGTTTCACTGTGCTCCTATGACGGCTGACTGGATACGGCCAACGTGGGCAATTTACTTTATCCTTGCACTCCTGAAACATCGGGGGGGAGGTTTCGCCCGTGAAAGGGAAGACCTTAATGGGGAGTTCAGCATAACGTCAGTGGCATGAGGGGTTCTCAGAATTGCTTTCGGGTCCCGGCGGTTTCACTTTCAACCCCATGTAGCATGGCTCTCTGTGCCCCAACCAGGTGGGTTATTGTTACTGAAATGGACAGTTGGGGATGCTTTTTTTTAGTTGGTACTCCTTGTTGGTTTCTTTTGCAGGGAGCAAACAAGAAAACCAAGCAAATTGGGGGGTGTCTTTTTGATGGTGCCCGTGTTTGTAGGTTCAAAAACGGAAACGAAAAGGAATTCCACCATTTTGGAGGGTCCGATTCCTAGACGACGAGCCACCCAGTTCCAAGCTCTTGCGATGGATCCACGCGGTGCCAGGAGATTAGCGCTACGGCGGTTTCCAAGGAGTGCCAGGGGTCATTTGCACGCGAATCGACCGGATCTGACTTTTTGGTTTCCAGATTTGGGCCTTGCCATTTTCCGTCAAGGTTCCAAAAGGTGAACCTTAAGTATTTACTGGGTCAGGGCCCGCGTGAGCAGAACCTCCAGGTGCGAGCCCTTGCTTCCGCTTTTTCCCCAGTTGGAAGCTTGGGTCTCGGAGCAAGGGTTCCACGAGGGTTCCGGGAGATGCGATCTTTTTCTGGAGTGGGCCCCCTAAAGATTCTCTCCCAGGGATCTGGCTGGAAATGTGCAGCAATGCCATGATGCGATTCCAGGATGCGATTCAGCGATCGGTTCAAAGGGGATACCGAAAGTCAGAGTTGTTTTGGAACAAAGTAGAATTTGAAGGGCCTGATACAGGAATGTAGAAATTATTGGTCTTGGATCCCTTATTTTCAGGAATGTGACGGCTCTGGGGACCAATGCGGGGGGGGGGGGGGGCAACGTCCATACCAAGGATTGGACAGTCAGGTAACCCCTAATAGCAGTGTTTTGTTTCTCGGGAATCCACGCAATTTTTAGATACCCCTGGTGAGACCGACCTCAGACGGCTCTGTTGGTGGTTTAGATTGGTGGTTTGGGGATTTGAACCCCTGGTTCTTGCACAGGGAAATGGAGAACCACCCCCTAACCTCGAAGCCACCAACCAAGACACCAACTAGGGGAAGCTGATTCATAGCCAATGAAAGGGAGCCACATGAATGAATGTCTTCTTGTTGAGGGCACCGCCTTCTTGGATGGCTTTTAAAGGCAGCCAGAAGGAATACCAAACCACCAACTAGGGGCAGGGTGAGCACGGGTCTTTCTCTTATTTTTCCTCGCTCCGCCGTCAGGAGCGGGAGCTGCAGCCCTGGGAAGAACCTGGGGGCTGCGACGCCACCTTGGAGGACCGGGAAGAGGAAGAGGGCCCTGTCTAAACCGCACGAAACGATTGAGGACGGGGTGTCTTAACCAAGCGGTTTCCCATGTTTTCTCATGGTTTGTAGATATATCTACATATATATATATATGTATATATCTACACACATCTAACTTCTGAGCTTATGTATACATATGCATACATGTCTATACATACATTTATATACATACCCGGACATATATATATATATATATGTGTGTGTGTGTATATATATATATATATGTATATATGTATATATGTATATAAACTTATATATGGTACCCCTGTCCCAAATGTCAACCTGTTTCTGTCTTCGTTTGTTCTGCCCACTACATCTGACAGAAAGACTCTCCAAGTGAACCATTTAGACGGTTTGAACCCTCAGAGGAAAGGTCAGGGCCCACAGCCGTTCAAACCGAATAAACATCTCTGAGAGGCAAGGTCTGGGCCCAAAACTGTTTAAACCGTTAAACCTTATCTTAGAGGAAAGGTCTGGGCCCAAACCGTTTAAGCCGTTTAACCCCTCTCTCAGAGGAAAGGTCTGGCCCCAAAACCGTTTGAACCCTCTCTCAGGTAGAACGCTGTGGGGGGGGAGGGTTTTCCTGTGAGAAAGGGGTTAAATTGTTTAAACGGTTTAAACGGCTTAAAGTGTTCAATTGTACTGTTTATTTCAACTTAGATTCTTCCTTTGAATGAATAAAAAGGAAATCATCCTATTGGATTGCTAGTTTAGAGATAGTCTAAAGTGCTCCTTTTCAAAGAGTATTAGTAATTGAACGTCCAATTTATTTGACATTAGACTTAGCACCGTTTTCCATTTTTGCTTGTTGATCACGCAGATAACAATCGGAACTTCTTAAGGACATAATTCTAGAATAGCGTCTAGTTTCAGCGATCATTTGGATAGGCGTGTCTTAACAGAAGGTGTTTTCATTAGCATTATTTTTTCAAATTAGGTTCAAAAGGGGGTCTCTCTCTTTTGTAGGATGTGTTTTTCAATTTTCTATTGGAATTTAAGTGGAGTTTAACAATGACATACTCCTAGTAGGAGGTCTAGTTTAAATGGGATCTAAACATTTGTTCATCTTCAAATAATATTTGAAATTGAGTGGGTTATTTGACAATATATACAACGCTTTCTTATTGTAGGGTTTGAAGAGAATTTACATATGATTTCATAAGGACATAGTTCTAGTAGAGTTTCTATTTTAGCGAACATGTAAATATGCTTTTGTTTAAACCATATGTGTAGTTGGAACTCATATTTCAAAATGGTTTTTGAAGGGGGTCTCTTTCTAGGACTGAGCTTGTTCAATGTTCTACACTCCCTGGAATTATACAGGAAGCTCCGAAGCTTGTTTTTTTTGGTAGGTTAGTCAAAAAACAGGCTTTTGATAAATGCTAACATGGAAGTCCCCTGGAGGAGTTTTGGTCGGCTTCCGCATTTCAGAACACGCAGCTGGCTTCCGACGAGGGTTTGGGCAACGGCTCCCTCAAACACTCAAAACCTTCCACCACCCCCCCCCCCCAAACACACCCGAAACCACCCGCTTCCCCAGAACCGCCCCCCGCCCTGCCCCACCTAGGTATATACGACGTACGACTGGTAGCATGTGGGGGTGAGATTGACGCGGAAACTGCATTTTTTTGCATTAGCGGGCGGACACACCGTATTTTTAAACGTACCAGGTTTTAAGCGCCCAAGGTACGACCAGAAAAGGAAGGCAGGCATTTCCCCAGGAAAAGACGGTGAGAGCACGAACTTCCTGTTCAATGCCGGAGAGAGTGATTGAAATCCAAGTAGAAACCAACAGTGACACATCCTAATACAATTTCCAGTTTTGAAGATGATGCAACTAGGATTTTCTTTTGGAAGAACACGATTAGTCGTGATTCTTACTTACTTCTTTTTTGTTATCCAGGACCTGTCGTCCCAGGATGTTTTTCCAGTTTCTACATAGAAATTGAATTAGATGTTAATAAAGCACCCTTTTTCTGCTGCTTCCCCGAAAGCACAAAAGGCAGAACACACCGCAAGTACCATTGAAACCAACACACTGTTAGACATTGTGTTTTTTGGAGGGGGTTAGCCATATATATATATATATATTATATATATATATGCATATATGTGTATGTTCGGGCGCGCTGCACTGGTATCACGCAACTACGGTGGTGCGAGAGTGAGCGGCAGTCATGCAGCCGGTTGCTGAATCTCAGGAGCTTTCATCCTCCAAAGGCTGCTGGGATGCAAGCGCTACACTGCAAGGAGATTGTATCTACTCACTCCCTGAGTTCCGTTTCGGACTTTAATCATTGTTAGGCTTGGACAATTTAGTGGCAAACGCAAAGTTTAACGGTTACTTTTTGTTGGCCATCCACCCAGAAAGTTGCATAGAAGGCTTCCACTCTCCCCAAACTGCTACATACTACACATACTACGACCTGCAGGGGCTGGACATACTACCGCATTGTTCTCCAAGGGCAGTGGTTTGGGGATGGCGGAAACCAGCTTAGATTGTATGAGGCAATTGTCTAATTTTGCCTGCTGACGTCAGCAGCCCTATTATTTATAGGTTTGCTTGTTGACTGGGTGATACTGCCCACTGAGTCAACTCCTGAAACGTCTAAGAATGGGCCCTCAGCTTTGGCGGCTTTGAGTTCTAGAGGGTTCCGGGGCCGAGGATACCACATGGGCTTATTTTGAGGTGGACAACTACGTACAAATAGTGTGGCCCACTACAGCCATGCCTAATTTGGCTTCAAAGGACCCCATCCATGCCTCCATTCTAGTTGTGTAGGGCCTTGTGTTGCCCCTTCGGTTGGGTTGCCTGGTTTGGTGTTTGAGACATGGTTTCGACTTCAAGAAACAAATGTCCAGCGCTTGGGCCGAGGTGATTGGGATCAGTTCAAGGTGAACGCGGACCTCTTTGGTTACGTGTCGACTTTTAAGGAGACGTGGCGTACATCCCATGCTGAAGGTTGCACCATGCTGAAGGATGAAGGTTCAGCGTTTCACTATCTTCTTGCATGTGTAGAACGAGTTTTCACCACGTGTTTCTGCGCGCTTTTCCTGGCCCCATTATTCTACGATCAAAGTCACCCAAGTGGTAGCTTAAAGGGAAACCACCGATTCCAGTTTCTGACTTTAACCCCTAGAAACAGCTCCAGAATGATGGGGAGAGATTCATCTTGAATTTGGCCGCACGGATTGAGTGATTTCTTGGGTTCTGGATTCCTGGAATGCCTGGCCCCCAAACAAGTAGAGCTGCCTCGAAAACCTGGACTCGTCCTGAACAGTGGATCCTTTTTGTTGGTTCCGGTGTTTTTGTTTTTTTTACAACACCCCTCCTTTGCAACCATGGCTACCAAGCACTTATACAGCTCCCCAAAACCCCACGTTGATTGGGTTTCTTTTGGTCTTTTTTTGGGCTGGAGCCCTATCCCACCCCAAAAAAGCAACACAAAACAAGCAACATTGTAAGCGGTCCAAAGCCAGTGACAGAAGTCCGAGTCTCGGAACTCAGGGAGTGAGTTGTTTAACACTCGGTTGAAATGTGGAGCCCTGATGGACAGAAGCCCTCACCCATTCGTACGTGTTTTATCCCATTCTTTTGGTACATTTCTCCCAAGTGGCGCGCTTTGTGGATCCCGTCCCCTGTAAACATTTCACGCGGGTCGCAGGAGGACCTGTCGCAGTACACCACGGCCATCGACCTGGGGAAGGTGCCTTTGGCGGCGCGGAAGCGCGCGGAGCGCCTCGCCAAGGAGATCGAACTCAAAGGCCCCCGAGGCTCGGCTCGAGTCCTCGAGCGGGGCGGGCGGGCGGTGGGCTTCAGGACTTCCATCTGCTGAAACGAAGTGTTTTTCCCTCTTGGTTTTCAAGGGAATCAATGTCACTACTGGAAATATCCTTTTTTCACCCATCTATGCCAGTTGAACCTATCTATTCCAGTGGCACCCAGCTATTTGAGTTAGTCAAGACATGAGTACCTGGACCCTCAAAGTACCCATAATAAGGGAAGTGACCCAATGAGGTTGGGGGCCAATGGGGGCAATCACGAAGGTTTGAGTGAATGTTGAGGGACCAGGTTCTTTGGCGGTTCTCAGCCGTCTAGTTCCTTAGCTTAGGTTTTTAGGTGTTGAGTTGGTTTCGTAGGGGTTCCGTATTTACCCCACTATAAGTTTTTCTTTAGCAGGGGATCTGAGGACAGCCTAGATAGAAATATTATGTTTCCCTCGCTTTCAAGGTTGCTGGACTTTAGTCACTTTTTGGCAAGACCATTTTGGTGGTAATAAAAAGTTCCGACTTGTTTTGGCCAATCCACTCAGAAAGTGATTGTTTTCGGGCAACTATCACTACTTCTCGGGTTTGGACCATTTCCGCGGTCTTTTTTGGCTAATCCACTCCAGTTAAAAAACGCAGGGAGTGAGTTGGAATGACCCCGTGCCAGAATTCCTGTGGTGCCTTTCTTTTTTGGATGTTTTGTTTTCTCTAGATTTTGTTGGAACCCCTCTCCGAGGTGCTCTAGGTTTTGTTGGAACCTCTAGATTTTTGGCGGTGAGTTGAAGAGCACCTTTATGGCTATTTGGTGACGGATCTTTGGACTTTAAGTTGTGGTTGAATCAGTGAATTGTTCATTAAACCTTCGAAAAGTTAAACTTTTCGGAGAGCGGTCAACAGCAACCAAGGCACCACTGTTATGTGATAAGCGGCCTGATTCCGTTGCAAAGTAGGAATTGTCCTTTTTGGGCATAGACGGGTACATGTTTCGCAATGGTCTAGCCTCTCGTTAATCAGAGCTCACCCCCCGAGTTTGCACCCTCACAAGAAGACGAGCCACCCATGTCGATTTTTGCTTGGCAATCCACACGTTCGGAAGCGAGTGGGAAAGTCCTTCAAAAAGGAACTAGGGGCTTGGAAAAAGGGCTCATTTTTCATAGGTGTCCTTTTGATTGATTACTTTGGTTCAGAATCGATGGGTTCATTGCGAAACCTGTCTATTCTTGCAAAAGGTGCTTCTTGTTGTTCCCGTTTGTATCCAAGAGTCTCTTTTCTAGCAGGGTCACTGGGCTGGGGAAAAAACAGGACAAAAAGGGCGCTGGAGTAGCAATGGATTGGGACAATTGAGTGAAACCACTGGGTAGGGAAGAATACTATGGGTGGACAAAGTCCTGAACTAGTGGGACTGATGAAACCCCACTAATATTCGGATAAAACGCCTACCCTGTTGCGAAGCGGATTTGGTCCATCCACAGTCTCGCTCCCTGAATTCCAGGACTTCATAAACCACAACACCATTCTGGGTGTTTTTTGACCGATCCACTCGATCGGAAGTGAGCAGTTGGGGTACAGAATTTTGTGAGAAAGCGGACAGGCAGGAGGAGGCCAGCGGACAGGCCCTTCAGTTGGCAGCCAGTTGCAACCACAGCGAAGCGAGCTTTTGATCAATCGACCTTTTGGTTTTCCCTTTGGGCTTTCGTGATCACCATACTGTATTCTTCCAGGTCCCTTATCCAGGCGTTCTAGAAACCTCCGGAAACCCAGGGAGAACCACAGGTTTTCGAAAAGAAACATGGGTGCACCCTAGGGGTCAACCCCCATGAAAAGAATGGGTTGACCCAATTTGGATGCTGAAGTAACCCTTAGGTAAACGACGGTGATATGAACCCCCCACGTTTTGAGTGGCTTGAGCTGGGCCGATCCCCTCCAGCCGACTCTCTCGAGAAGCTCCGCAGGAGCGATGGAGGAGCTGGGCCCGGCGGATGAGGAGGAGCTCTTCTCCGCGGTGCCCCGGGAGGACGAGTCGCTGCCGACTGGATTTCGTGGGGGCCGGGGAGGGAGGGGTGGGGGAAAATAGGGCCTTATTGGGGGCTTAATAAGGGCTTATATGGTATCCCTCCCCCTTTTTAGAGGTCATTCTTATTGGGCCTGAGCTAGCAGATCTTGGGGTGCGGGGGGGGGGGGGGTCCATTTGCTGAAATGATGATTTGTGTGGTGTTCCCTTGTGGTTTGGACATATTTCCTAATTTTGTCCAGGGGGCGTATTCGCAAATGGAAGTGGTGATTGCATTTCTGGGGGCTGGCCCGAGCTGTCACAACCCAGGCTGAAGGTCGAAAAAAATCATGAGGTTTAGGAGGAGAAGTGTTTTTGGGCCGTCGTTATTCTCACTTGCCCAAAGCCAACCTTTTGACCTTTTTGTTTCCCTTGTTTGGTCTATTCCAATCTGTTTGGTCCATTTTAATTGAGTGTAAAGGTCCCAAAAGGTTATCCTTTTATTTCGGAGTCCTTGGGCAACTGAGAATTTGGGTGTGTCGTTTTTTAGGTGGACCCCGCAAAATAGTGGGTTGTCCTTTTGGTTGCCCCAAGCAAACTCACCAAAAAGGGGTACCGAAGAAAACACAGCCCCACTTTGACAAGTTCTGGGGGTTGGGAATTGAAAGGGCAACCAAAGGTGATTTATTACCCGTTTTGATAGAGCCTGGTAAGGGACGTTTCACCACTTTTTGATTATTTCTGGGGGTTAAAGTCAGAAACTGGAATTGGGTAGCCTGCCACTTGGGTGACTTTGATACTGGTGGAATTCTGGGGCCAGACCGGCTCAACCAGTTTTGTCGCTCATCTTCTTGCAAGGTCGGGACCCCAAATAGCTTCGGTTTTTCCTCTTGAGCCTCAACAAAAAGGAACAATGCACAGATGGCTTAAAGGGAAGCCACGAGAAAACCCATTTGGGGCTTACTCTTTTGAGACAAACCTCAATAAGTAGAAATATAATTTCCTGAGTTTCTGGACTTTGCATTTTGTTGGATGACCGTTTAGGTGGTGAACAAACAGTACAGGCGTTTTGTTGGCCAATCCACTCAGGAAGTGAGAAGCACTAACTTCTCAAATCAAATCGACCGGATCGAACCATTTAGTTTCTCGTGGGAAAGAGTTGCAACGAGCCGAACAGTCCAACAGGTTCTAGGGATGCTTTCACACGCACGCACCATGAGTTTCCCCATTTTGGCAACCATCACTGGTCATGGCCCCAAAAAGTGATCGTTTTTCGTCGTTCTGGCCAGCTGTCCTTTTTGCTTGGTCAACGTTTGGGGCCATCGGACACATTTTTGCCGTTGACTGAAATGACGAAAGAAACGATGTAAACTCCTCAAGCATTGGTTCTTCTTTGGTTTGGGGGGGAACCTTTCTAAAGTCTCCTCCAAAACTATTACATGCTTGACGGTGAGCTCACTATGGAATTTAGCGGCTTGGTTTTTTTCAGGATGCTAAACCGCTGCACACGGTGTCCGGGTCCTTCTTCCATGTGGACGGGGTGGGCCTGGTGGACGAGAACGTAGTTCGCTCCAACCCCTGGATGCTCAAGAGCCAAGCCAGCCAGGCGCACTTCCTTCGTCGTACGAAAACGGCCTCTTTCCTGGGTCCGCAAAAGCACACATTTGACGCATGGTTTGAATTGCTTTGGGCATTGAACCCGTGGAATTGCTTTCTAGGGTCAATTGGGCTCCCGGTGTCATGCCATGGGCAAATTGTCCCAACAAGGCTGTTTGGAAATAGGGAGGTACCTTGGAAGGCCTGGATTTCCACTGCGAAAAGCAAAACAACTCTGGCATTTGGCGCACTTGAAGATTCATAGAAAGTGGCTCATTGGTTTTAAGGCTACCAGTGCAAAGTGTGTCAAAGATCCAAACCAAAGCCATACAGGCCCTAGAGAAGGGGTCGGGGCCTCTTGATTGTGGAATCCCATGTGGGGGGTAGGTACAAAGTGGGTGGGTAGTTGAGAGCTCCTTTCAGGCCCTTAGGGTTCCTTACAAATACTTAGGGAACCCCCCCCAACCGGCCCTGCTTGTTTAGAGATTCTCTAACTTGACCTCACGCAAGGTGCTCTCCACGCAGGAGACCGAGGCCTCGGTTCTGAGCACAGCACCTCTGCCGGCGCCGGTGAAACCAGCGGTTTCAGCGTCGCTGGGCCAGCTGTTGATAGCATTTTACTCTAGCTTCCATTTCTTTGTTTGGTGCTGTGCAATTTCAGTAGGGGGCTACACTAAAGCATGTCTCTTGCTACCATACCAACGGCTGGAAAGATTTGCCCAAGAATATGTTTCAGTTTGCCCTGCTGGCTTGAAAGGGAATCGATTTCACTGCTGGACACAGTTTCTCTTGTGCTCCAGGGGACGAAAAGCCCAAATGGAGGGTTTGGATGCGGCTTTGGGAACCAGAGCCCGCCAAAAGCGCGTCCAACCAAACCAGGCTTCCCAACTTACATCTTGCTTGACTTGCTGGTGCGAGGAATGACAGAGTCAGGGTTTTGGGATTGCACCGGAAGGGCATTCGTTTAAAGGAAACCGTAGGAGATGGTTTTATTCCATTAACTTACCGCAGCTTGGCGCTGTGAAGACCTTTTTGGGCTTTGATGCCTGGGCAAACTGAAGCAAGCTCACCAATTCGGACCAAAACGAGATATAACTCACAACGAAGGGCCTGCTTGTTGGGGTTATGTTTTCTCCAAATCTTACAATCGGGGAGTAGATGGCGCTATCTCATTTAGGTTGTATCCTTACTATGGTATCTACTGTACCCTAGACTTTTAGACAATTAGAGTCTCGAGGGATTTACGAGACATCCAACTAGATTGATTTTTAGCAATGAATCAATGAACCACAGTCTAGAAAATGGTTTGGATGCGCTTTGGGTGGATATCACCTGCTCTTCACCCTGTTGGTCCCTTTTTAGTAATCTTGTAGTACTCTTCTAATATTCTACAGGGGGTGCATCCACAAAACCTCCAAACAGAGTTGAGATTCCTTAGCATCGACCGAGGCCACCGGCGCCGGCACCAGTTGCCCCCGCGCCAATGCAAGTGCACATGCAGCAGCAACTGCATATGGAACAGATGCAGGCGCAACAGATGGAGCAGATGCAACTGCAACAGATGGAGCAGATGCAGATGGAGCAGAATTACCAGATGCAGATGGAGCAGAATTACCAGTACCAAATGCAAATGGGGATGGAGATGTGGTCCATGTTTGCTCCAGGGACGCAAGTGGTGGTGGACGGCTTAGTGCACGCTGCCAGCTTCAACGGCCTGTCCGGCTGGATCGAGTCCTTCGACGCAGAGACGAACCGCTACAACGTACAGCTGCCCATGATGGACTGGGTGAGCAAAAGTGGAATCAGCGCGAAAAAACGACTCCCGTTGTCCATTTTCAGTAGAGCAAATTGGGGTAGGAGGCCACGCATTCACCTTTCATGACCAGGCTGGTAACACGAAAACTCGAGGGCTTTGGGCTCAGCTGGTATGATCCGGCTTTGCTTTTTGAGAAACGAGAGACCTCGCCACAGGGAGGTGTGTCGCTGGTTTCCCTGAAGAACAACCACAAACCAGGTTCCCTCAAAAGAAGTCAACCCTATACGGTTGTTGTTTTTGTGTTTGTTTCTATGCGGTCCATGTTTCATTTCCCCCCACTTGCAGATCTAACGGCCATTTTCGCGAAGGGACTTTGTCAGTGTTTCGCACAGCGGGTCAAACACAAGCCGCACAGGACGCGTCAGGGGCATATCAAGTAGCCAAGATCCTGCCTGAGAACTTGATGCTCGACCCGCGGGCCTCTTATTGCCAATGAAGCGATTGAAGCGGACGCTTCTGCATTTGAATTGTGCCTGGGCTAAACAAGACTCAGTTGTCCAAAGCGGCCCTTTTCACATGTTGGGCCATCATGTCAGGGTTCTCTGTTCGGCCCATGTTGAGTCAAAGTTGTCATGTCCAGCGGCTTGGGGCAGCTGAGAAGATGCAGGCCGCAAACAGTGGAATTGCATGCTGAATGTTGTGCTGTCTCGCAGGCCAACTAGTGCACATGTTGGATGTATGAGTGCATGTTGCTGGCACAGTTGTGATGATGATGATGATGATGATGATGCTGCTGCTGCTGCTGCTGCTGCTGCTGCTGCTGCTGCTGCTCATGATGATGCTGGTGTCGATGGTAAGGATAAGATGAGGCTGATAATTTATGATTTACTATCATCATTGTATTGCACTTAATTGTTATCATAAGTTGTCATTATGATGATGATGATGATGATGGTGGTGATGATGATGATGGTGGTGGTGATGATGATGATGATGATGGTGGGGGAGGTGGGGGAGCCAAGTGATTTAAATGAGTCTTAGGAACCGTCTCCTGGATTATTTCCAGGAAGTGTGGGAAATACACAACTATCGGGTTGGACAGACTTCCTAGAAAATGTCCTGATGGTTTCTCAGGTCTCCCGGAATGTTGTTGGAACCCATCAGTAAACCGCAACTTTTGAAGAGGAACTCTAGTGACCCCTGTTTCTTAGAGTGAGGGTGGGGATAGCAATTGTTATAAGGTTGGGGGTTCTGATGAATGGCATAGGCGGCATAGCCCACATTTTTTTGGCTTTCAGACAGGAGGCAAACCAGAGAGCACATGTGCTGTGCACGGCCCAACTCCAACCAACGCTGATGTTAATTTTGCGGGAATCTCCTTTTGCAAACAGGGGTCCAAAAACGGGCACCATGTATGTACCCGTTTTCCGACCCTCATTGGAAATTGGGCTGGTGGCAAGCAAGGCTTCCAAAGCATGTCGGAAAGAGGCTTAAATACTTCACAGTTCTTCACATGTTTTGTTAGGTTGTGTGGTTCTGTTCATTCTCTGCAGGGGGCGAGCAAGAACAGCATCTTTCGCTACCATACCAACAGTTGCAAAGGTTATCCTCAGGAATCATGTGCCTGGAAGCTATGTTGGTGGCTGTCCACCGAAGTCGATGAAGCACAGGGAGGGTGTCGCTTTCAATGATTTGTTCATGCATGCATCCATCATCCATCCATCCATCCATCCATCCATCCATCCATCCATCCATCCATCCATCCATCCATCCATCCATCCATCCATCCATCCATCCATCCATCCATCCATCCATCCATCCATCCATTCGATCATTTTTTCCATGCCTGCATTCTTGCATTGACTCATCAATTATTCATGTCATGAACGCATTAGTCAACTGATTGATGAAACAGGTAATCGGTTAATTAATTAATTCTGTCAGCTAGTCAGTCATTCATTCATTCACTCACTCACCCACTCACTCACTCACTCACTCATTAATTCATTCATCCATCCAGCCATCCATCTATCCATCCATCCATCCATCCATCCATCCATCCATCCATCCATCCATCCATCCATCCATCCATCCATCCATCCTCCATCCATCCACCCATCCATCCATCCATCCATCCATCCATCCATCCATCCATCCATCCATCCATCCATCCATCCATCCATCCTTCCATCCTTTTCATTCATTCATTCATTCATTCATTCATTCATTCATTCATTCATTCATTCATTCATTCATTCATTCATTCATTCATTCATTCATTCATTCATTCGCTCACTATTTTGCAGCGGCATCACTAGAGCGAATGGGAAGAAGCTGTTCGATTGGGGCAAGGGGGAGGGCCTTTGCCAAGGACACTTTCCTCGCTGCGAGACGCCGTTCGAGTTGGATGCTGCCGACGGATGGCAATGCGATACGGGATGCTGCTGAGGAACGAGTTGACCGGAGTTGGTCTGCCTGTTTTGCCGAGTTTTTTCCAATATCTCTTGACTTCGCGAAAAGAAAGCACCAGCTGGAGTTATTGTGCGATTGGGTTGGGACCAAGAACGTTCCTCCGCAGCCTCTTTTAAATTCAGCAAAGATGTTCAGAGAACAGCGCCTTCCGGCCGCTGAACCTGATAATGTGAGTAGATCTAGGCGTCGACTTTCGACGCCCAATCTGAGTCCTTTGGGGGATTCTTCCCTGGTGGCTGCGACAGTCAAAATCTAGCTGCCTGCGGCCCTTAGGGTAGGTCCCTTGAAAGAAAAAAACGTTGGCACAACCTGCCATGGGTGGCACGAATAAACCTGGCACAACACTTAGATGCTTGGCGTCCCGTTGAAGAGGCAAGCCGTTGTACATTGAGAGGGGGCAACCTCCCGATTTATCCACCATAGATTACTTCAGGTAACACTAGACCATTGCATACTCTGCACCTTTAGCGTCACCTGTCCTTCTGTGCACAAAGCAGGAGCCTTGCGTACCACCCGGAAAGAACCACGGTTACCCCTTGTGGGTACTGCATGCAACTTGCCATTGAAAAGACTGGTTTTTCACCGCAGTCAAACGCCACTGCGAAAAAATCTGTGACGACAAAACAGTATACAGAATTCCGCGCCACAAGCCCCGACTCCTTCCGGGGTTCCTCCGTTTCCCTTTTTGGAACCTCCAAAAGCTAAATTGCAACATTTGAAGGGGAAATCCAGTGACCCCTGTCCTTGGAGACGGAATTGGCACAACGGCGCTCGTCACAGGGCGGCTGACTAGAGATAGCCCTTGCGACTGTGTATTAGTACCTGTCACTCAGAGACTGCGACATATGGTGACCTCACCGCAAGCTTAGCTCGAAGTGGCTGAGCCAAAAACGTGCGAGGTGCGCTTCAACCGGCCACAGTGGGGAGGGGGGGAGGGGAGGGGGGATCTTTGAGTGAGGGGGGGCTGCAGGCTGGGTTCTTGTGAGCCATACTTCCGTTTGCTTAAGAATATTTGTTCGCGCCCTCTGTCGGTTTTAAAGGGAACCTATCACTACTGGATAGGCTAGTTTTGTTTTTTCCAGGAGGCTTACGCAAATGGAAGCGTGAGATGCCATCAGTGGTTTTCCTGGTTGTGGTGTCTCACTGCAGGTTGCGGCTTAGGGATCACCCCCATTTTGAACAACCCGGTTTATTCACAATCAAACCCGAAAGTCAGGAAGCCCAACCATAAACATTGGTGTGGCCGCTTTCTTGATTCTTTGCATGTTTGCTATGTTTTTAGGGCACCCCCAAAACAATCCTTCCATTTTCTTAAGACAATGTTTTAGTTTTTCCCTGTTGGCTTTGAAGGGGTCCAAACAGGGGCGGCCTCAGGCTGGACGACGTGGGTCGGGAGCCGAGATCACGTGTGGGCTGCGATTTTGCGATTTGCACCCCAGTGACTATCATATGGGTGCGCATCTTTTTAGGGAGCCCCCCCTGTCAAAGAAAACACAGCAACATGTTGTCCTCTTGGTTTCCCTTAAAAACAAAGCAAGCAAAGTGTAAGAAGGACAGGCCCATATCTTTTCTGCCGTCCACTAGCATGGAACCCACCAACGGGACCCTTTCAGGGGAAAATGGTCTTCCAAGACCCATCAGAGCCCCTAGTCAGGTTTGTTTTTGGTGGGTGGGTATATCTTTCAGTTTAAAAAAATAAATACATATATATATATATAAACGATATACCTGCGTCAGCATACATCCCTTTATTTTCTGGGCCTGCGGCCTCTAGCCGGCTACGCCTCTTTGAAGGTATACCATGTCATGTCATGTTTTTCAATACGAAACGTAGCGTGTGCTATGATATGGCTGGTTAGGTTATGCATGTTGCCCACCTTAACCCCAGATAATGCCGGGGATGCCGGCTTTCTGGGCCCCATCCGGGCCCCAACCCAGAAGGCTGACATGGGGTCGCGCGCGCGCGCCAGAGGACCCAAAAAAAGCAACCCAAAAAGAGCAGCCCGCAAGCCAGGCCGGAAATGCAAATGCAACAAAACACCGTAAATAGCAGCGTTTTGTGGCTGGGGTCGCGCGCGCGCGCGCGCTCGCGCCAGAAGGCCCGAAAACCAACGCGAAAAAAGCAAGGACCGCGCAGCACGCGAGCCAGCCACAGCAAAAGCAAAACGGACAGAACAACAGCCCAACGCTCAGCACAGCAGTTTTTTGGCGGTATTTACAGCGTTTTGTAGAGCGAGGACCCAGCATCACCGGCATGCCCGGCAGCGCTTGGCGCCAAAATGCGCAAAAATGAGCCTCGCTTATACCCCTCCGATACCTACTTAAAAACAGTGCTTTTTGGGTGGAGAGGCTTTTGGGAAGGAAGTCTTGATGATGCAGACCAAGCCCCGCTGAAGCATCACCCAGGCCCAACCCCAGACCCTGACGATGCCAGCCACATGGCCTAAACCCTGCATACACGCGATGTTTCCGAGGGTTTCCCACAGTCAGGCAAAACCGCAGGCCCGAGCTGGTGATGCAGAGGTGCCGGATTTAGGCCGCGCATCACGACCAAGTGGCGAGGGTCGGCGGCACCAGGGTGCAGCCCCTATAGCTATAGCTAGCAGGCTAATTGCCTAGCGGCGACATGCTACCCCAAGGAGGCGTAGCCGGATTAACCAGGCTCCCGCCTGCTGCCGCCGACCCTCGGCGCACGAAGGGAAAAGTCATGAGGACCGGTCCTGAAACACGTCCGCAAACCCAGGGACCACTTATAAGATCCTCTACGACCACAAACAAGGATTAACGGAAAAGTCAGAAATATGGCAGCTAGTCCGTTAATTACCACTTGGGCCGGCTTGCGCCCAAGTCACTTCAAGTTGGCCCGGGAGCAGTCGCCTCTCCCGGGTCGCCCTGAAACCCGGGGACAGTTGCCCTGGACCGGTCGCCGGTATCGGATCCCACTTCAAACCGCTGCAGACACCTGGTGCCGCTCCAGACACCTGTTTCCTCCAACGGTGAGGGGCACCGACGGCCTTGTTTCTA